CTTCTAACTTTATTGGGACCATTTTTCTCTTTTTGGGTACCACCAACTTTGATCAGAAGATGATCATCATCATCTTTGAGCTCCAAATGCACAAAATTATTGGTCCTAGAAACCTGGTTCCATTGCCACTATCTCTTAAAGCTTTTTTCTATGGGGGATGGTGGTGGGTGGGAGAGGCTTTGCAGACTCATCAGGACACACCAAAACATGTGCTCAAAAACGAAAAGCAAAAAAAAAAGAAAGAAAAAACTACTAATAAAGAAAGGAAAGGGCCATTTGTCATCACCCCCCATGCGTATAGATTGCTCACATTTTGTTTCGGTTTCAAAGCTTTTGCATTTGTACTTGAGTTTTTCTCTCTTTATTTTTTTTTTGGGGTGGAAAGCAATGAATTCCACAACCTTGAAATATGGAGAATACCAAACCCAAACCAAACCAAACCTTGGCTGTCTTGCATTTTGCTTTGGGAACTTGATTTCTCCTGATGATGTTGGTTGCGTAAGGCCAATTCCAGCCAAGTTGCCTCCTCCATTTGACCTGCGTATGAGAATGAGAACCCGTCACGGGTTTATATTTGATGTATTAATAATATATTAAATATAAACTTAAACCCGATCTCCGATTTATGAAATTAAGACGTACCCTGGTTAGCAAACATTACAGTAATGATATTTTAACAATTGGAATTCCTTTTTGAATGCCATTGCCACCCAAATTTTTAACGTGATGGGGAAATTTCCTTAATTAAATGATATAAACTAAAGTTACTTTAATGTGTGGAAGATTTGTGGGGAGCTGCTCACCGACTGCCAACTTGAATTTGATTCAAAATCAAAGTGGGAGTATAGAATTCTTAATAATTCTTTAATGGAAAAAGAAAAGAAGATCAAACTTGCTTGACAGTCAACAACATTTACATTCAATTATTATTATTATTTTTAATTTTTATGGGGGAGGAGGGGGGGGGGGACTTTTTCATCTCAATCAACCAAACTTTTTTGACTTTTACTGTTCTTCTCACATAAATAAAAGGTGAAAAAAGCAGTGACCATGATTCCTATGTAAAGCACTCATTTGAATATTCTTCTTTCAAAATGTAGAGATTTGGTATAAATAAATATGAATCAAGATGTATATAATGAAGTTTTTGACATGTACTTTATAAAATTTATGCAAATTTTAACGGATTGATTCGTTAAATTTTATCTTTCTTTTCGTCTTAATTAATTTGGTGATTTATGATTTTCTCATGTGTATATTTTTTAATTTTATTTGAACTTAACTCAATACGTAAAATTGAAGTAAAATTTGGACAAATACACTCAAATTAACAAAATATTAAGTTCTATCGTTTTCCTCGTATGATTAGTAGTGTTGACGGGTAAAATCCAACAGGTTGACACTTAATTAAACCTCATTAATTCATAGTTAAGATTTTTCAAGAGCTTAGAAGAAAGAAAGAAAGAAATGAGAAATTTGCAATAAGCATGTTAAGTTGATGACTAAATTGGTTAGCTAGTTTGTCATTCTCTAGGGCTATCATTTTCACCAATGATACGCATACTACCCTCCTACCCCTCTATAGAAACTTTTATGTATCTATATATTCACGTGGTTCCCGTTGGCCCAAAAGCTCAAGTTGGGCCAATTTATTTTTTTTGTTTCTAATTAAAAAAGAAAAAGAAAAAAAGGTTGATTAAGACTTTAATGAGGGAATTAGAGCTTAATTAATTATTCATTGCAAAAAAGCAAAGATCTAACACCATAGCGTTCATATTCTTTTCAATGCTTTTCCCAATAACAATTAATCTTTAACATATATAATATTCCTATTAAAAACAAGCATATATATATATTAATTTAAAACTAGTCCAACATATACACATAATAATGATTTTTTCATTTATTTTCAATTGATTTTATATTAAATGTGTATTTTAAAAATTTAACTCTAAAAATTAACGATTTTATTTTCAATGCAACTCTTGAAAACCTTGGTCCAGCTCTTTCAGTTCCTTTTGGGCTTAGATTGAGCCCAAAGTGAACTCAATGCATAAAGAGGCCGAGGAACAGCTCTTTCTTCTTGCACATTGCTCTTCATCATGATCGATCAAACATAGCTCTTTCTTCTGGAAAAATTGTAATGAACAGGACAAGAACAAGAGGAATCATTAAAAGAAAAAAGAAAATTTCAAAGCATGTTTGGATTTCCTCCAAACCCAAAACTAAGTAATACTCCAGTATGCCAACACATGTGAGAGATCCAGACATTTGCTTATATGGACAGTTGTATCAGATTTAGTGAATATCATTGGCTCATCGCTGTCAAGAGACAAGTGGTCAGAGATGATCCCAGGGTTTAATAAGAGTCGTTGGAAATGTTTAATCAGGTACCAAAATCAGCAAGTATCTCCATCGGAGTTCATAAATGCCATGAAACTTTTACTTGCCCATAAAGTAAAAGCTGAAAAGGGGTAGTATAGGAGGGCACTCAAAGTAATTGAATTATATGCATTAGTTTTTGGTTCTCACATTTTCTTTGTATTAATTTCAGTATTTTCACCTTTTCCTTTTGCATAGAATCACAAAAGACTGGACTTTTAGATTTCTCTAGAGGAGTGTTGCCTCTTGGTAGCCAAGTTCTAGCTTCTAAGTAACTATGTTGTATGCACACAAATGTGCTGATTGAAAACCGCAGCTGAAAGAGAAAATGCAATGCATTTCAATTTCAGGGAAAAGGAATGAAGTATCTTTTTGTATTATAAGATAAAATGGAATCAATTCCATCACTCCTTAGACAGGATGAATATTTGCCAATCTAGCTTTTTTGGAAAATGGAAGAATACAAGCAATGCAATGCCATCTAAGAAAAATAAAGCTAAGGTATCCGAGTTGGTGGTTTTTGCCTCTCTTTCCTTTGGCATCTCTCAGGTTTCTGTCGATAATAATTGGTTGGCAGAAATCTCAACTAAGATATGTATGAAGATAGCAATTCCATGCTGCTATTCTTGACTATCAATCAAGGGAAAATTCAGTCCCATTGCGGCGGGATAGTGATTAACTGATCATGTATATCTTTTGCTTCTGAGGATGTTATGTTGAATCTCGTACTGATTTTTTTGCCAACTACAATCCAAATTTCAGTCAACTTTCAGGTTAAATGTCTAACTTTATCCTAGTTGATGAGACAAGGTGAGTAACATGTAGCAGTAATCATGGCAGATTCAATGAAGCTGTCTGATCCAAACATATTTGGATCAAAACACTCTGCATTTTCTGTCCACAATGAAGCATTAGTCATGGGAAAATGGGAATTGAACATCCAAGCTTTCTGTCCACACGAATCCAGTGGGCATTGCTGATATACACTGAAAATGAAAAGGAACAATCAAAAAAAAGGAAGGAAATTGAAAACAAACAAGAACCTAATATGATGCATCGATAAAGTCAGCAGATTGGGATGGGGAAGGCTTCATCAGGTTGATGAAGATTCTGAACAACTGCCATCTGTTTAGTTTATCTAACCCTGCTGCTTTTTGTGGATATATACCCCCAAAAGGAGAAAATTCTCAAAATAGTGGCTATTGTTTTCCAAGTTACTTTTTCATCACAATCTTCTTCCTTTTCATGTCCTCAAAGAAGATGAATTTGAATGTCTGAAAGAGATAGCTACTGATCTTAATCATGTGCTTATAATCTGCCCAATGCTTGTCATTAGTCAGAACACAGCAGAAACACGAAATTTCTACTGGCAGGAATTACCATGGAAGCCACAACTTTGCACAAGGATTATGTGTAAGATAGAGATATAATAAAGAAGAGATTAATTAATTTTAGGTCCATGAGATGTTACTATATACTGAAAATGACAAACAGACTTTATAAAGACGTGACGTAGAGAAGCAAATTCTCCAATATCAAGGCTTCCCCTTTGGCACAGAATGATGGAATGTTTTTGCATAAAGATTAATTCTTCTTTGGCAGCATTAATATATATTTATTGCTTGAAAGAATTAAAAAGAAAAACAAAAACCCCTCACCCCAGAATGCTGAGGACAAAGATTTTGATCTAACAAAGATTAATACGGAATAAATGATTGATCCTGATTTATACCTAACAGAAAGGAAAAAGGAAAAGTAATATTACTAAAAGAAAATGTAGAATCACTTTGCATGGTGGTTGGCAAAGGCCAGATTTTACAAAGAAAGAAAGGGAAAAAATACCCAAGGTGACAGAATAGGAAGAACTTTCTTATTTGGCAATGGCAAGTGCCAACTTTCACTTCGAATACTTTGGGATTATTTAAATATATTGGAAAACCAAATGAGGAAATGATGCAATTGGAATACAGGCTTAAATATGTTATTAATTCTTTTTCTGGATGAAGGCTGCCTGAACTCTGGATGAACCTCTCAAGGATTAAAAGGGTTTTCATTATGCATGATGGAACAACACTAACAGGAATATATTATTCAAGGACAAAATCGACCTTTTTTGGTTAATATCAAGAATATATGCATATGACATTGTTAAATTTGTTTAAGCTTCTTCCAAGTGTATATATATGGGGCATTTCGTAGTTGATTCTAAAGAAAATGCAAAATCATCAAGGAGACTAATTGGATTCTATATGCATGTATGTGGCACGCTTTCATGGAGTTGGAATATTTATGGCAGCAAACAGACTTAATTCCTAATTAATTGGCATCTTTGCAGTGCTCTTTATTCTTCCCATTGCATCTGCTTCTCATGCAGTTCAATGGCCAGACAGAATCAGTAGTAATGGAGGCATTACAGTTTTCAATATGAATATTTCCCTGCAATTGGTTTTAAGCTCGAGCTAATATCAGGGCAGCAAACAACCACTTGAAAGAATTATTTGGTCAACCAAAAGGAGGAAAGGCCATCCCTTAGATCATTATATTTACCATTGTTCTGAAATAGTAGTAGTATAAATACTTTAAGAACATTGACTTGTAGAGTAGACTCCAAAAAAAAATAAAAGTTTCAAAGCATGACAAGTATATATATTATATGATACATTAAACTCTATAGATTATTGTCGGTACAAGGTCTAGCCGGCTAGGTATGCTAATATAAAGGAAAATACAGAGTTATTTTTCACTTAGAAATCAGAAGCAACATCCGGTCTAATCAAAGCCATATGGCTCCTGCATTTTTGAGCAAGTTCTTCAAGGAACCATTGAGCTGGAGGGTCATGATGGTGTTGGCAGAGCCAACAAATTTTCCCCCAATGAACACTGCCGGAACCGGTGGGTTGCAGCCTAGCCTCATTAGAGCCCACTCCATTTCCCTGCCTCTGGCATCTTCATCCAGCTCGTAGATTGCTGGGCTAACCCCTTGCTCGTAGAACAATCTCTTGATTGCATGGCACATGCAACACGAGCTCTTGCTGAAGATCACCACCGCCTTTTGTGATGCCAGTTTGGCCACGCGATCCATGATCGATCAAACTAATTCTCGAACGTGATCTGCTAAAAGGTTGACGAAATGTGAATGGTGGTTCAAGCGTATACAGCTAAAGAAAATGCATACAATCAAATATGACTAACGCTTCGGGATTACAGTGATATGGGAAATAATCAAGAAAACTATCCCAAGGGACTGTTGGAGACGGGCAAATGCTGGTTAATTACTTTGTTGGAAAGAAGTAGGCTTGGTCTGTGATGGATTCGAAGCTCTGCATGAATATGTATATATAGGACCAGGCCATGATGAAGGTGGTGAGCTTAGAAATTTTCTCATAATGTTAACGCAATAAGAAAGGAGGAAAAGGATATGGAAAAGGTAAAGGTTCCTCGAGATATTTGGATTGATGCCCTCCCCCAAAATCACCCTTGATTTGATAATGACTTGTGTGGTTTTCTTCAAACTATACAACTAGTTGTCCTTAGATTAGAATCTTGATAACTCGTGTGGATAAGCCAAGGGCATTGCCGAAAGTGCGGTATGTTAACCAAGGAGAATTGAAGAAACAATCGGGGGGGTGGGGGGGAGAATGGTACGGTCCATGCCCTCCCTTTTGAGGTGGACGAAAATGCCCCTTGATTTTCATGAGACTGTGGGTAGGGGGAGGGGAAGAATGTCAACTTTGGATAGGATATTGATATGATAAACCTGTAAAAAAATGCGATGCTGATGATATATAGATGAAGACAGGCACGAATGTTTGCATCATGAAGTGACTGATGTTTTATTTCTTTTCTGGTAATGAACATGAATCATCATTATTGATGATCATCATTAATCACATCATGATTACTTACTTATGTTTCTTTCTAATCACTTTGTCTTTGTATAATTAACTCATCATGACTTTTTCTCAGTTTTTGCAAACTGATTGAAGTCAAAGAATATAAGGTTTCATGCAACAAAGTCGCTTCCAAAACAGAGATATCCAATTTAGTTTTGATTTGTATATTTTTGTTTGTTTAATTTCTTTTTATGGGTTTTATTTCCTTTGAGCCAAATATTGCTTATCTTCTTTATATTATATGCCCTTAAGCAAAGGCTAATTTGATATTGTTATCCAAGACAAAAACCCAGTTAGAAAAGCTTTTTCTCTTAGAGACTTGAATTAGATATCAATTGGAAAGAATAGACAAGTTCAAGTCAAAGATTACAGCTAGTTGCAACACTAAACAATACGAAATCTCTTAAGTTCGAAAAGATGGGGGAGAAAGGAAAGAAATGAAGCTGCAGGGGCAAGTTCATCTCAATTGGGCTTTGCCCATTTGCCTATATGGAACTTAGAAGCCGGTTGGGGTTGAGTAGAATATATATACTTACTTCACCCGAACTAGATTCTCTTCAAGGACTGAGACCATCACGATAGAGGAATATATATATAGCTTGGGAACATTAAATCGATGCATGTAAAAATATTGAAGAAATTTCTACTTATTTTGGAAAGAGGATATGTTGAATAACTTGTACAAGAAATTACAAGAGATACAGGTATATCGAATTCATATATATTATCTATGAAAAACAAAAACTTAAAATTTTCAATTTCGAATAACAGCCAAATTAGTTCAAATTAAGAGATATAAAAAGCTTTATTATCAATTTCTTTCTGGTGAGAATCAGACAGATTTCTAATTTTCGTGTCATCTACAGTCCATTACCAGTAATATTGTAGAGCATTTTGGAAGTTGGGAATAATAATTCCTACTTGATGTCTTGTTTTGCCCTTGGCCAAAAAACTCATGGCTCAAACAATCTGAACACTTCCAAACGATTCTAGCAGAACATCAAACAGAGTCCAACCATCTTTTCCGTAGAGTTCTCAAGGCTTGATGCGCCCTTTATTCCCAAAGTTTGATCGAATTGTACTAGCAGAATGAAAACTCTCTTAGAGAGCCTACAAGGTGATATATGAAAGTATTGTTTTTACACCCTTTGAACCACACCAATTCTTCTGTCCTCTCTAGGAAGAGCTGCTCCATCTATCAATCAATCCAAGAATCAAAACATCATTTTGCAGATTTTACGAAAATTCTGAAACGATCAAATTATATCTAGAGATTCAATCGAGTTAAGAATCAAGATGTCAAAAGAATGCTTAACAATGTCGTGGAATCATAACCTATCTTTAAGAAAATATTTATGGAATAATCAAACGTGATTAAAGAATAAAACACGTGAAGTTTCGTATCTCTCTTAAAGAGTATTTAAATATTGTATCTTTTTGTGCAAGTGATATATCTTTTGTTCGGTAATTGATAGGACTCAATCAAATTTTGGGAGAATAATTTTTTATCTTTTTCCTCCTTTTGGGTTCTGGATGGAAGAGGTATTCCTTGTGTTTTATTTCGTATCTAGAAAAGATATAAAATAAAGCTAAAACGAGTATAATATGTGTGTATATTTGTGTGTTGGTTCAGCCTTTCCATCGCTTCCTCTCCTTTTCTTAGAGAAAAAAAGGAATAATAAAAAGGGAGAGAGCAATTTGTACAAGGCCTGTACCTCACCAACCCAAAAACCCTGATGCGGGATGCCACGATCCGTCCTCGCATGCATTTGCATATTTCTCTTTATCTTTTTGGTGCCTATAAAGTTGACATTCTTTTGCCAAGCCCGTGGACCTTATCCTCTCTTTCTCTCATCTCATCACCCCCATGCACATAGAGATGGCAATGAGTATACTTTATTTAGGTATTCACGAGTATCCGGTCTATTATATAAAGTATAAATATTCTATATTCGAGTTTAAGATAAATTTGGATAATTTTTTTTTAAAAAAATTTACTATATAGATATGATAATGCACATCAAATACCTTTAAATTAAGAGATTGTTTGTTGTTTTATTTTGATAATTTTTTCACTAATAATTTTTTATTGAAAAACTGTGAAAGAAATTTCATCGATAAGAAGAAGAATACTACAAATTAATAATAATAATACTAATAATTAATATGTATGATTCAGAAATCTATTAAAAGGAATTTAAATTCAATATCTATCTTGAGATGACGCGTTTATAAGGCATAAAATGGTACGATTGTTTTGCATGAGTACATGCAATTTGCAAAAGAAAAATATGGAAGGAAACTGAAAATCTAAAGAGACAATAGGAGGGTCAAGTAAGGACCCTATGAAATTTGGCTCTTGGCCTTCCCATTGGGCCAGTAATGGGAGTACTGTACCTTTATATATATATATATATATATATATATATATCTTTTAGGGTATAGTTGCCTGGAAAGACATTACCCTGGCATGAATATCACATCATAAAGTGTACATTTTTGTATGAAATACCGTAAAAAATGAAGAAAAAAAGTAATACAACAAACAAGATTCCAACAGGTGACGAAGAAAAAAAGTAAAGAAACTTTTTGAAATTTGTTTTGATGACCCGAATTTTCTAGAAAAAGCATATATATATTTTTTTAAAAAGTATGATCTATAAATAATGAAGCATAGGTTACAAAAATGTAGAGTTAAGTGTAAAAAAATTAAAGACTCAGGCCGACGTTATGACCTTCACTTGACAACACTGGTTAAAAGAAAACATTCCAAGGTGTCCGACTATGGCACGTAACCTCTTCCTTAGCAACTAAACTATACATATACGCACGTATACATATGTAATCTTAAATATTCGAGAAATGTATTTGTGAATATTATAAAGGGAAATGCATAGAATATCGGCAGCTGCTGAATTCTTCTTTATCAAGGCCACACTGTTTCAATCTCTGAGACATAATTCTCTTGGTTGATCACTCATAGATTTTGTTCCATATGGTTGAATTTCTTTTCTGTTATTTTAATTATTATTATTATTGGTTTATATAAAAAAGAAAACAGAGAAAGAAATGGAGGACATGGCAATAATAAGACTGTACTACTCGAATGGATGAGGTTGGGGACCTTTACCTTAAGGCATCTATGTCTTGGCTTTCCATGTACGGCCACTTTTATTGGACAAAGAAAAAGAGAAGAAGTAAAGAAAACCGTGGGCTTGAAAGTGAGGGTGGCTTAGCTCACCACCCAGATGAAGGCATAAGATATCTCTTTCACAAAAGATGTTTCCAACCCGAAGTGTTTTCTCCTTTTCTGGGCCTATGTACATATTATCCTTTGATGAATTCTACATTCTTTTAAGGGTTTTTATATAAGGTAAATGTCTTCATTTAATGTGTTGAAAATCGACGTATTATTATAAGTGTTAATTTTAATTTAGTGTTTTCTTTCGATGATCAAGATTAAATTACTATTTTTCAATATATATATATATATATATATATATATATATAGAATAACAAAGAATAATTATCATAAAAAGGGGTTTCAATTATTCCTTCCCCTTGTTGGGAAGAATAGACTGTTTGAACAAGATCATGAGATCTACTGTTATTTTCTCCACAGTCTTTCTTCTCTTCCGGGACCTGCACCTATAGCTAGCTCTCTGTTTTCTTTGATGGGGAATCGATGCGCCTCTCTCTGATTATAACAACGACAAAGAAAGACACAAACAGCAAAGCGGAGAGAAGGTCCCGACTGGATAAATCCAACTGCTATTTCCAACTCAGCAGATGCCTCCATGATAGGAACAGCCAAAACCTCTTTTATATGAATTACAAGAAATATGTTGCCCCGAAATAGAAGATCAACTGGCTTAGTTCACATACATAGTATCTCCATAGATTGAAAGAGTTCGATTTTTCGATATGAACATTAAAAAATGCTCGTAAAAACCATAAAAGAAAAATGTACATAAACTAATATTCTATTTACGTCAATTAGTTTATATTTTGAAACACGTGATGAAAGATTAGATTCGTTGGGAAACTTTTTTAGATATGATTAATGGTATAGATAGAATAGAAATCCAAAACATTAATGTTTACTATAAGGGAATATTTTGATTGTACACTAATGTTTCGCCCGTACAAAGGACACGTCTCTGTTAATTTCCGTATACAAAAAGATTCGTGATCGTGCCATTTCCTATTTTTTTCCTTTGCCATGGTTGCAGCTCTTTTGATCGCTTTCAAGTAATGATCTAAGGGAGAAAGAGTGGAGTTGGAAACCGACCCAAATATCTAATGGAACATTCCCTCATTTTCCTTTTTGTTTTTCGGTTTTTCATTCTCCACCAAACCTTTAATTCCCAATGCCACATTCCTCCTCTCGAAAACCCTATATATATCAGTCCCCATGGGGGCATTCAAAGCATCTCAACAACACAAGAAAACCTCCCAAGTAATCCTTTTCTCCTAGCCTTCGAATTCCTTATCATTTCTTTTGGCATTGTTTCTTCGCTTGGAATTATTTTCAAGCACTGTTAGTCCGGCTTTAAGCAATGGAGAGAGTGACAAAGTTGGCATCTGAGAAGCCGGTGGTGATCTTCAGCAAGAGCTCTTGCTGCATGTGCCACACCATCAAGACCCTTTTCTATGACTTTGGGGTGAACCCCGCGGTCCACGAGCTGGATGAGATCGCTAGAGGGCGTGAAATCGAGCAAGCCCTCTCGAGGCTCGGTTGCAGCCCTTCCGTGCCAGCCGTGTTCGTTGGTGGTGAACTTGTTGGTGGAGCCAATGAGGTCATGAGTCTTCACCTTAATCGATCCTTAATCCCAATGCTTAGACGAGTTGGAGCCCTTTGGGTTTAAGTCAAAATCTCATTAACTTGCGTGTCAAGCCTACTAATAAGCATGTGACTATATATATATATATATATATATAGTCACAGTAATTAGATATATAATCATGAGAGTGTAGGTTTCTAAGTCTAATTATTAGTCTAATGCAAAATGGAGTGTACTTTATATGATCTTACTGCTAATTAATGAGTCGACTTAGAGTGTATGTTATCTTTTTGGTACTGTATCAATATGCTTTTTGAGTAATAAAAGTTAAGAGTTAGATTCCATATTTATCTTTTCCGTAATTCCTTTGAATCAAAAACCCCGTTTCTTCAACTAATCTACATTGGCAAAAACCATGATCAAAGAATGGGGCACTTGCACTTTAGAGAATATGAATGGGCCTCTTTCATGTCAGATGAAAATGGATTGGGGTTGCTAAATGGTCCTTGGCATAGTCCATTAACTCTCACAAAAAACTCTCACAAAAAAGGCAACACGTCTGGTGGAGAGAGTGATCCAGTTTAGAGGGTGCAGTGGGACAGGCAGCAGCAGCCGCAAGTCCCGAGACAGAGTAAACCCCTGCAGAATCAATGGAGCCCACTTCCTGCCCTTGCAATAAATGCCTCGACGATTGCAAACTACACTAGAAAACAAAAACAACACGTATTTTTTTAACTTTGGGAACTCTTTTTTTCCCTTCTCTTTTTGACACAGAAAAACTTAATCCAACGGTCATTTTTCCCATGTTATTTCTCACTCTTCTTCAGTCACTCTCAGCACTGCTACTTTCACATTCGTTTCTTTTGATTCCATTAAGGGTTAAAATCTAGAGTTCAGTCAATAATTCTATGGACAAAAATGACCCTTTGTTTTAAATGTTCTAAATAAACGATCAGAGCAAACTTGTATTAATGATTCTTGCTACAGATACAGATAAAATATTCCTTGGAACAGTGGCCTAGTCTGGCTTGATATTCTAACATTCATGTGATTTGGTAATATTCAGCAATTTCTTTTATGTAAGGAATTTATCCCAATGAAAAATAAAAGCAATGGTTTTATCTTACAAACAACAATGGTAAAATGTGGGCGGCGGTGAATGTAGAAGAAGTCTTTCCAGTTTCATTTTAACTTTATTTGGAACTTTATTACATTTTCATGGTACCAAGCTAACTGCCACAAGGTAGCCAGTTGTTGGAGAGACCTTCCACTCCAAATCTCGGTAAGGATCTCATCATCAAACGAAACACAACAAGACAACCAATGCATTTCACTGCTTCCTGACTTCTCTCTTGACTTCTCTCTCTCAGTTGCTTTAGTTACTATTTCTCTCTCATCACTACTTACAGAAGGTACAGCTCACTTCCTCAAAACCACTTCATCATTGAACCCTTAAAATTTTCACTTGCAAAGCAGTACGTCAACTACTTTCTTCTTCATCTACCTTCATTTCTTCAATGACCCATTAATTCCTTTCCTTTTCTTTTCCATTTTTTTCTCCTTTGTTTTCTCAGCAACCCAACCCAAGTCCAAGGTCAAAGGTCAAACCCTTTTTGTGTCAGGTAAAGCTAAAATCCAGGGTTATGGTAGATTGTACTTTGCTGTTACTCAAAGAGAACTTTGATAATGATTAGTAAATAGGATTTTATCATTTTATGTATGTATGTGTGGCTATTAGGCTTTTAGTTATTTTAAGTTGTTTTTCTAGATGATAATGTAGCTTCATTTTTGTGGAAATTTTAGGGTTTTATTTTCTGGTTTTTTTATCCAAAGAGGTTTCCTTTGCTGCATAAAGGGTCTGCTTAGATGAAAATGTTTAGCTTTTCTCGTAGGCGCATGAAGCTTGGCAGGTGAGTTTCCTCTTTCCATTGGTTGACTTATTAGTCATATATTCTTTTTCAATGTTCTTGCTTTGACATTTCCATTCTTTATTTAGATATATGTTCTTTGTTCAAAATTATAATTTTGTTGTCAACGAAGAAAATGTAAGCTAACCATTGTGAGCAATTGAGAGACTCGGTACATAAAATTCCAAACTTGATTAAAGAATGTCCAAATCCGACTTTTTGATGAAGAAGTTCACTTATTTGATACATTGCTGTGTTGATTTAGAGTGAAGAAAGTACAGCTTTCTGATTCTGCCCATGGAATTAAAAGTCCTATAAGACCGCCCAAACGAAGCAACAATACCAATGTGAGGCTTTTGACTTGCTTGATTTTGGATTGGTATTGGTGGGCATGCGCAAAATGTGCTAAAGCCTTAAAATTTGTTTCAGGGAGAGTCTGCTATGCCTGCGGGTGGTCATTCTGATGCATTTGACTCCCACTGTCCTTCGACTGCCCCTGAGATCAATTCATCGGGGAACTCTGAGAATTGGATGGTGTTGTCAGTTGCTGGGGAAAGGCCTGTGCCACGCTTTAATGTACTATAGTGTTGCTTTTCAATTTTCAGATGGCTTCATATCATAGGTTTTAATTCAACTTTTATTTGAGCTATGATGGAAATGTTGAAAACTTTACATGTTCCTTGAGTAGCATGCAGCGGCTGTAATTGGGAACAAGATGATAGTGGTTGGCGGTGAATCCGGGAATGGATTGTTAGATGATGTGCAGGTAAAAAATATGTTAATAATTTGTAATTTATGAAAACTTATGTCCAGTTTACTTGACATGTTGGAAGATGTGTCACAAACTGTTGGTGTTAGTCCTATAATTCTTTTCTGTTTTTATTGCAGGTTCTTAATTTTGATAATTTTTCTTGGTCCATGGCATCATCAAAGCTTTACTTGTCACCAAGCAGTCTTCCATTAAAGATCCCTGCATGCAAGGGCCATAGTCTGGTACAATCATATTTGATATGTTCCACTTTCCCTGAAATCATATTCTCTTTGGTTTGCATATAGTATACTGCAGCTGAATTGTTGGATTTATATGCTTTTCAACTCTGAGGTGTTCTGTGCTGTATGTTACATAGGATTGTGCATGTGTATGACTGAGGTTAATAGGATTGTCATGCCACTGTCATGTCTACTAATTAGATTTAATTTAATCATCTGTTGTTTCCTTACCCAGGTTTCATGGGGGAAAAAGGCCCTCCTGGTTGGTGGAAGAACTGACCCTGGAAATGACAGAGTTTCAGGTTCAAAACTAGAACCTTTTCTGGTCATGCTATTGTCAATTTGTTTTTGTACATGATGTAATATGTTTCCTGTTCTCAATTTTGGTTTTTGCAGTATGGGCATTTGATACAGAGACAGAATGTTGGTCAGTTATGGAAGCAAAAGGAGAAATACCGGTACTTGTTCCGACTTATAAAATGCCAAATTACATTTGCATGCTTGCATTGACATCAAACATCGTAATAAGTGAATGCCAAATGGGCAAGAACAGAAAATTGTACCAGGCAATACATATTCAATGGATAGATCTAAAACACAGGCATGTCCTAAACCCACATGGTATCGTTTGTCTGTTTATCTTGCTCCATCTCTTGTTTGCTATTCTATTGAGAAATTGTGGCTTTTACTCATTTATAGAAGTAAGCATTCCTAACAAAATTTTCATGCCTTCCAGGTTGCTCGAAGTGGTCACAGTGTGGTCAGGGCAAGCTCCGTTTTAATCCTTTTTGGGGGTGAAGATGCTAAAAAGAAGAAACTGAATGACCTACATATGTTTGATCTGAAGTCCTTGACATGGCTCACTCTTCAGTGCACGTATGTAGCTCTGGCATGCTCTGAGATCTTCCAATATTGTTACCTTACTGATAGAGAAATCTGTCTCTTATCTATACATCATACAACTAAATTCCTCATGCAAGAAGCTTCTAATGAATGATTGTGTGTAACTGTACAGGGGAACAAGACCATCTCCAAGAGCCAATCATGTGGCAACTCTTTATGATGATAAAACTCTTTTCATTTTTGGTGGAGTGTCAAAGTCCAGGGCATTGAATGACTTGTACTCCCTTGACTTTGAAACGGTGTGTAAAACCTTTAGCAATCTTGTCCTGGTTACAATAACCAGATTATTTGGCTGAACAATTTCATGTCTTTGTATTGTTTTATTATCTATAATGGGTTTTTTAGTAACTACTTTTTCCTTAGATGATATGGACAAGAATAAAGGTACGGGGTTTTCATCCATCGCCAAGAGCTGGTTGCTGTGGAGTTCTATGTGGAACTAAATGGTACATAGCAGGGGGTGGAAGTAGGAAAAAAAGTATGCCTCATACCAGTAAGCATGTATTATGCTCTTGAAAATAATTATGAGCTCTAATGAAAAAGCATTGATGACCTCTTTGTCTCACTTATTTTGAAATGGTTAAACCTATAATCGTTTGATATCATATATATATATATATATATATATATATATATTTTATAATTGGAGGAGGGGAGATTTGAACTCTGCTCTTTAGGCAGGGGGATCATGCACCAACCAATGAGCTAAATGATATCATATATTTGTGTAAGCTTGAAGCCAATTGCTACTATCTTCTTTATCCCTTTGTGCGGTTGTGTGTGTGTTGCATGTGTCTCTGAGTGTGTATTAGCCATATTATGCTATGATTCATGTAGATAAGTTAGAGCAGGCTGCACCTCTGTTTTTGTTATGGGTCTTCATTAACTACCGGGTGGGTAGGTGGGTAGAGGTAGTAAATGATCAATAGGAAATAGGAGTTGGGCTGGTGAATTCACATCTTTGGAAATCAAGTTTCATTTTATAGATTTAATTGCACTTTGGATCAACTATGATCATGTGTGCATCAAGAAATTTGGTTTTTACTTTTTCTTTGTGGTACAATTTTTGCCTTCATTTTACATTTTTTTCCTTCTTCTCACTTACGTATATGATTCTGAAATGTTTACAGGACATGCAGAGACTTCCGTCTATGATATTTTAAAGTCTGAGTGGTCTCTGGCCATTGCATCACCTCCATCTTCGATCACCACTAACAAGGTAAACATGCAGAATTTTTCCTTCTGCATGAATGCAGGTATAAACTGGGAACTTTTAATGTTTTCTTTTTGGTAAGAGACTGCGAATTTGAATGTTTAGAATTGATCATCCAGTTTTTTAGTTGGTCAAGGATTTGAAGTTAAAATAACAAAATTCTGATAGGATTTTGTTTAAGCGTAATGTAATCACTACTCAGCATTGCATTATTAAAGTTACCTCTCATTGGTGATAAGCCCTGTTTTTCTGAAGATAGTTGTTCTTGCAGGGATTTAGCCTAGTACTTGTGCAGCACAAGGACAAGGATTTTCTTGTTGCATTTGGCGGGTGCAAAAGAGAGCCTTCGAATCAGGTTGGAGTTTGAATACATATATTTATATATGATTAGGTTTCGTTTTAATTGTTATTCTTTCTTTGTCCGTTACAGGTTGAAGTACTGATCATTGAAAAGAATGAATCATCCATAGGCCGACGATCTACTCCTGGTAAACCTGCGGGACTAATGCAGTTCGGAAAACGTTCATCATCTGCAGGGTCAGCTAGCCAACTAATTAATGGCTCTTCCCAACGTCCAGTTGATTCTGCTAGACAAAATCTAGCCTCTGTAATTGAACATGGTTCTGGTAGGAGATCGTTGTCAGAGTTGTCATTTGTGGATCAAAATCCTCTTTCTGGAAACGTCTCACTAAGGAAGCAATTTCATAATGAGGAAGAATACAACACAACTGTTAAAATAACAAAGTGCTCAGAGGACGAGAGTTCTATTGTGCAGGTAAATTGTATGAGCTTCATTTAGTTAAATGTCTGCTCAAATTTGAAATGTCACCTTCTACTTTGGATTGAAATATCCATTAACGTAACATATTTTGTTGATTTTAGGTGACAGAGCCAAAGCCAAATCAATTTGATACAAGTATTCAGATTATTACTGCTGGGACCAAAATCAGTTCAGATGAATCATTCCTATTTGAGCCTGAAGGTTCAACTCCCCAGATTGAAGGGATCGCAAACGTTCCCATTGATAATGATAATTTTGTATTTCCAGAAGCTGATGGTAAATCAGCAGCCCTATCAGCTCCTTCAAGCATATATCAATTTTATGAGACAAGAATGGCTGCCCTAAGTAGAAAAAACGGAATTTTAGAAGTACAGTTGGGAGCTGCATTGGCAAGCCGAGACACTGCAGAGAGAAATTTGGCTTCTGCTCTCAAGAGCAAAGAGGAGATGGAGAAAAGATTTATAGACACAATGAAGGAGATGGAGTTGCTAAAAGAGAAACTAGCCGGCATAGAACTTGCACAAGAAGAGGCCAACAGCTTGTCGAACATAGTTCACTCAGACAATGTAAGACTTGAACATGATGTGGCTTTCCTCAAGGCTGTTCTAGACGATACTCAAAAGGTATTGATTTTGTTGTCGTGTGCTAATTCCATCATGGAAACTTGCATTTTGGATTGTAAAGCATTTTTGAAGATTTCAAATTTATTTTAGGAGCTGCACTCAACCAGAGGAGTCCTTGCAGGGGAGAGGGCCAGAGCCTTCCAACTACAGGTGTGGCTTTGAACCAAATTCATTTAATAGAAAATGAGGGATGAAACAAAGATAAATGCTCTGTGATGTTAGCTTGTTAGAATGTGTTTGTCAAACCTGAGGTTAATGAGGTTAATGCCATTAGAATCAGAGTCAATTGTATGCCAAATAAAGCTCATTTTTTTCTTTAACATTGCAAATGCAGGTTGAAGTTTTTCATCTCAAACAAAGATTGCAGTCATTGGAGAACCGAGCGCCGACTCCTAGGAAACCATTCAATGTATAGTGTCAGACGGAATCTGACTAATTAAGGTCACCCATATTATGTACGTACCATGCACAATGCATGGTAGGAGGAACAGTTTGGATAAACAACCGTTCAACCTGCCTGGCATGTAGCTTGTCACTGAACTAAACGTGGGTGCTCATGTTCTTTTGGTAGTTTAACTTTGTGCATATGTATATCAACCACCATGTCACATGTTTCCTCGGATGTTACCTCTTGCTTCTAGTTTGAAGAATACCCTGGCTAGTGTTCTAGGTATCTGACAACTCTCCGCCCATCAACGGGCTTCTGGGAGGAACTCGGAGTAAGGTCCGGTTTAGAATCAAATGATGGGCAGTTGCTGCTTAAGAGTTTTAGCCGTCTCTGTCTCTCAAACAATGGAACTTGTATTGTATATTTACGCCACGATCTGTTATGTACATCTTAGTCGTGCCCGAGTCCAAAGAATTGAATCAACCATTTTCACCGGAGCCTGTCGCCTAGGCTTTGGACTCGAATCAACCATTTTGACCGGAGCCTGTCGCCTAGGCTTACGTTCAGATTTGGACAGTTTCCTTGTAAGCGGTCGATTCATGATGGACCAGGGCAAGTTGCAATCAGTAGTTTACAATGTATAATAATTTTTGTAGTTATTTGCTTGTACCGAAATGATCATCTAAAGATTGTTTCAGGGGTAGAGGCAAATTCATTGACTCTCAATCATCAGATAGAAATAGTAAGCCAATTAATTCTACTTGAAAGATAATTTATCTAGAGGCATGAGCATAGATCCTTTTTCATTTAAATCAATTTTTCAAGCAGAAGTTAGTCGGAGGCTGATATACAGAAATGATGGCCGTATTCTGTCCCCGGAATACTGTCCCCGTAGTATATCCGATGACGCCAATTTCTAGACCCCTCAAGAATTGTGAATTTGCTGGATACGATTTTGCTCAAATTGCAGCGTGGAGTCTCACCGTAGGTCATAACCAGCTTTGCTTCTCAACAAATCAATAACACTCGGGTGGCTCGGTATCTGTCGAAGACCTTGGCTGCTACCTTACAAAAGCTCAGTCTCTTCTTGTTCTCCATCTACATCTTCAACCTCATTTTCTTCCTCTTCTTCAGGTGCATCCGGATCTACTCCCTACAAGAAAGTCTCTAGTTATGATCTCGGATGTCCAGATTAGCACGCCTATATGCCTCCACAAACATACCAAAGGAAAAAGAAACAAAGGGCAGCACAAGCACTAGACAGACCTTCATCTGCTTTTCCAGGCGTTCTAACCCCTTTTTTGCAGCTTCATTCTGAGGATTGATTCTGCAAAGTGCATTATTTGAAAAGTGAATAGCAGTTTTATGTCAGGTTATTGTAGACATAAAAGCTTTTTTTTTATATAATCATCATGCAAAGTTCTTGACCACATGTCTAGATAAGAGAAAATTGGAGTGTATCCTGAGTATAAGTTGACCTCAATGCATCTTGATAATGTGAGAAAGAGTCTTGAAGCATATTTGTGGCAGCAAATACTTGAGCCAGTTTGACATGAAGAGAGTCATCAGCCCAATCTTTAAGATAACGCTCAAGAAGAGATACGGCATCACCATTTCTTCCCTCAATGACGTGCAGCTCAGCTAAAGCTAATGCAGCTCCAAGGTAACCAGGTTCCAGCCTGAGTGCTGATTCGTAGAACTTTTTTGCCTTTTACCAGTTTGGGTTAAAGTAAAACTTATTAAAACTTACTTTCAGTGGAAGTCTCTGTCAAGTACTGCTAAGAATAGTCTATTACAGGTTTACCTTCTCCCTGCCACCAGAATTGCTAGCATGAACATCGCCAACTAATTTCAGTGCCTTTGCAGACTGAGGCATGGCCTTCATTGCCTCTCTAGCAGCATAGAGGGCCTCCTTGACTTTAGAAAATGCCAGATAGGAATGAACTAAACCTGAAATTATAATAGTCATAGGTTTGCATGGCCTCCAAATAATTCTTTGTTAGAATATAACTACATCAAACAAATAGAAGGCAGTGACAGGGATAAGATGAATCTTGTGTAGCTGAGCAGTGAATTTGCAGGTTTTTTCTCCTTAAAAATCAAACCTTGATAAGAACGAAGATCAGCTCTCAATTCTTGAGCTCCCCTGAAGGCCATTACAGCAGCTTCTGGCCGCTTCAATGATAAGAGCAGGTTACCCTAAATGGAAGTAGAAAATAGAATTATATTGCCAGGAAAAAAAGAGCCACAGAAAAGCTTTAATAAAGATAATCACCCATTCCGTTGGATGGAAAATCTTTCAATACCTTCATTATGTAACCAGGTATGTGCCTCTCATCAATTTTGATGCTCTGATTGTAAAGAATAAGTGAATCTGTGAGATATATAAATATTAAAGAGGATGAAATGGACTACTACAGATAAACCAGCTAACCTTTTCAGCATAAGATAGAGCACCCCTCTCATCTTTCCTCTCCCACAATACAGATAGAGCCACAAAAACTTCCGGTCTTGTAGGATCAATACTCAGCAAATCATGCGCTAACTTGTTCAACTTTGAATAATCAGACTTCATCTTTAGAAGCATTGCATACTCATCCATGTAAGTCATGACATAAGGATCAATGGATCGAACCTAGAAGGATCAAAGATTTGAATTCATTACTATATACGAGTAAAAGTGTAAGTAAGCATAGGCAAAAAAAACTTGGGAATAGTTCATCAACATAACAAGTTAGATAGTCTAATCACCTTCTCGAAATTCATTACCGCCTCATCATTCTTTCCAATGATGGCTTCAACCTGGATATAGGAACATGTATTAGTGAATAGAAAGAGAAAATTAAAAATTGAATGTTCTAGGTGCTACAAACAACCCAAAACTAGCAAGATTTAACACTAGTGATCACATTCATAAATACTATATAGTCCTCCAGCCTTTTCTTCTCCCTTCTAAGTTAAAGTCAACTTGTTAGTTCTCTTTCCTACTAAGCAGATAAAAGAGCACATAAACATGCTAGATTCATTAGAATGCAACCATCCCTAACCTTGGCCATTTCAAGTAATATGTGTATGTTATTAGGGAAACGTTGTAAAAGTTCTGTAAAGAGTTCCAAACCACCTGCAAAAAGATTAAGGGGAACATGAATCCTCTTGAATAGAAATTAATAAAGCAGATAAAATTGACAAATATATCAGAATCAATAACTTCTGCATAGAAACATCTATAATAAGAAACATTCTACATTATGAAATGTTACAATTTGAAAAGAAAATTGTCTTACCTTTGTAATCATTTGAAGCAATGCAACATTGTGCCTCAACATATCGCTGCACAAAATCAACAAATTATTAAGAATGCTGCCAAAGTAGAAATTAGCATTGACATAAACTACAAAACTAAGACAACAAAGCAGAAGATAACACCAAAACAACTGAATGAAGCATTATTTTCTTGGGAAACCCATGATCACAGATGCCAAATCCAAATTTATATTGTTCATCAAGAACCAAAAAGCTAATAAGTAGCTCACAATGGAGCAGAATGTTATCCCTCTCATTTTGTTCTTACTTGCAGCCAACGGCTTGAGTCACCATGATCTAGTTGAGCCCTCCCACTTCTATTTGGAGTCTGGAATTATACAATTGGAAAATAAAGATGTTAGCGAACAAAGATATATGGTTACAAAATCCATACAAAAAATTCAACTATAGTAAACAAATTGAAGCTAATAAGACATCAAATAGTCAACAAGTCTACATTAGGACCTTCGTAACATTACTTGTGTGTTAAAACTCGAAAATAGGTTCATGAGAACAACTTCAGGTTAGGGAGAAATAATTTACATCCCACAATATCATGTTTGTTGACAACCATAGGGATATAACCAAAATCCTAAAATAATGCAAGGAAAATCTCCTATTCAAGGTGTTTACTGCACTATACATTGCAGCTCTGAAAGTTAAATAACAAATTAGACAGCACCACCATATAATTACCTTCTCTTGTATTGAATGAAAAAAGAAATAATTGACTAAATGATTGTATCCTTGTAACTTGACCCATGACATATGACATGTGGATAACTAGAAGTTTCTTACTAAGAACTATATCTGTGACCTGCATGAGAATGACAAATCCAGAAAAATACTGCCCATTTTGACCTTCTAAATATGTGTAGATGGAGTACAGGGAAAATTCAACACCATCTGAAAATAACAACCTTAAGCAAACTCAGAGCAGAACGTTCAACATCAAACAAAAAGTACATCTTGCATGCTTGTTTAGCTGCTCAGACACGAGGCAAATCATAGCACTTATATTAACAAACCTGAGGGAACAAGGAAATTATGTCCTTGGCACAGGCCCCTAATTCAGCCAAGGCTATGACAGCCTCAATGACAAAAGGACATTGCCTGCCAAAGAAGAACCAAAGGTCACATGCTCTTAGAAAGTTAGCAAAACCACTTTTAGTAAATACCAGTATAAACAAAGAGAAAAACATTAACTATTTGACACACCATCCACAAATCATAAAGCATTGAGAAAGTGGGAATCTCAAATTGACAGACCTTAAACATTCCCTGTAACAAGTAACAGCTCCACGGTTCTGTTTAGAATTCCGATAAAGCTTTGCCATCAATAGACTCATCTGCAAATTTCTTGCTTTGCTAGGAATTCCCTCCATCTGCAAGTTCAAAGTAATGCAAAATGCAAATTTCACAAAAATAAATACATGCAAAGAAAAATAAAGAGTGCTGCTGAACAAACAGTAGAATTTAAATCAAAATCTATTAAACAAATACTCTAGGCAACCAATCAACAAAAAAGACATAAAGTAAGTTATGAGTGATGTAGAAAACCTCAACAAGAGCTGCTTTAGTTTCGGTTAGAGGAAAATGACAAGACGCAATTTTGAACTTCACCTGTCATGGAGAATGAAAGGAAACTGCAATAAGCATTTCAGTTTCAACATTCAAGAATTCAGATTTAAAGAAAAGAGCTCAAAGGTAATTGGGAAAAGAATACCTCATTTTCATTTATTGCTGAAATGTTAAAAGAATTTGGAGAAGAAGATCTGTTTGAGGCGGTCAATGAACTTCTAGAAGTTGTTGAATTTTGCTTTGGTATAATCTTGTAATACTGCAAGGCTTGCTTGTATGCATGCTGAAAGCACATAGGAAAAAGGAAAAATTAGAGCAACTACGACTTCCTTACTCCATCAATATCCCCAGAAAATCTAAACACTCCAGCACATGAATCACATTTTCCAAATAAATCCTTTGAAATTAAAAAACCATACGCCAATTTTGCTAAACTTGCTCAGGATGATTAAATGGAACTAAACAGATTTGCTTGTTCTTCCGTAAGACAGACACTATTCAACCTCAAGTATCGATTAACAAAATTAAGTTCAATGTAACTATTTAAAACTTTTAAAATATTAAAATAGAAAAACCTAGCAGGCAAATTCATCCTTCCAACTAAAGCTTTTCAATTGCCGCCAACAAATGAATAATTCCATAATTGACTGATTTTCGTTCACATTATTGAAACGAGTCCATTTATGTCAAAAATTTTCTCCATTTAAAAAATGCGGTAAATCACAGAAAAAAAAACAAAAATGATCTCACGATTGCTCTACGATACTCTCTCTCCCGAAACAAAGCATCTCCAAGAAGAATCTGCAGAAACACAGAACAAATATTGAGAAAAATTAACAAAAAAAAAAGATAAAAAAAATAAGCTAAAATTAGAAGAAATCGATACCAGATTTTCAGCTTTGAGATGCGGACTAGTTTCGGCATTAACAGTAGATGATGAAACAAGAAAAGAACCCTGTCCAAACCAAAAAAAAAAAAATATTGAAGTGAAATTTAAGTTCCATTTATTTATGTTACAAAAAATTAATAGGGAAAAAAAAAGAAAAATATTACGAGAAGTTGAGCGGAGCTAAAGAGAGCATTATCGAGAAGAGCAGTGATTTGCTCCTTTGGGACGTCCATTTCCTAGAGGTTTTTCTTGCTGTTGGGAGTTTTGTTTTTTTTTTTTTCCCTTTTTCGAACAACAAAAAATAATTGATACCATGTAATTGAAAATTTGCCCCAAACAACCCGCTCCGTTTTTCAAATTCAAAACCCCGCTTTTGCCCCTGAAAAAGAGTGCGCCTCCACAGGTAATTTACACCTTAATTGGATTTTAGGGGAAAAAAAAAAGGAAAATACGGAGACATCATACTTTAAAAAAATTTAAATTGTTAATAAAAATTAAAAATAAAATTTTAATTAATTATTATATTTAATCAAATTTTTATATTTTTATTTTTATCAAATAAATTTTTATAATTAACTATTTTCAATATATCACATATCATTTTATATTATATGATATTAACATGTTATAATAGAAAATATTGTTATATATTGTTGTAATATAATAATATTTTTTATATGAAATTTTTATTTTTCATGATTACATTAACTAATCATAAAATGATAAATAATATTTTAATTAATAATAATTATTTAACAATCAATCATAAATATTTACTTCACTTAAAATAAAAATATAAGAATTTGATTACTTATATTAGACAAATAAAAATTTATTTAAATTTTTTAATAGTCCATAATTATTTTAAGTATTATACCAAATAAGAAACTATGAAATTTTCCTTTTACTTTTGTTTGAAAATAAGAAGCAAGTTAGACCCATTACAAAAAGCAAATTAGAAAAAAAAATACTTATGACATTGTATTTGAAATTAATGGAAGACATAATATAAAGTCAGATATAATTTGCATCCCCTAGCAAGAACGGAGTTATAGATGTAAATAGTAAGATAGTCGTTATTTTTTAAATAACAAATTCAAAACTGTTTACTTATTAAAATATCAAAAATTTATTAAAATTTGTATAAAATTGTAAACTATTGTCTAAAATTGAATCTTAATAATAAAAAATTATTAGTTAATAATCCATTAAATATTCATTTATGTTGTCAAAATTGACAAATACTTGAAGCGTCTTCTATTTTTTTATGAGTTCAATTCCTATTAATAATAAAATTTTACATATTTAAGTTTTCACTATAATTCAACTAATATAAATTAATATTACATTTATTAGTTTATGAAAAGTTCAACTAATATAAATTAATATTTCATTTATTAATTTATTAAAAAATAAGTTGTTATGATAGTAAATATTGTGTTAAGGTAAAACAGATGAAGGTTTAAATTTCACAAAATTTAAAATTTTTGAACATTATATATAATCAAATTTAAATTTAGGAAATTCCAAATGTGATACTCTAAACCTACAAAAATTCATATCGGGGTTTAAAAGTTTTATCTTAATTCGTCTTATAATCGAATATAAAATATCATAACTTTATATTTTTGGTATGGATACCTAATTGAATTCATATTAGATTTTTAATGCGTCTTATAACTGAATGTAAGATATTCACGTCATAATAACAATTAATTTACATCTTTAAATGAAGTATCTAAAAAATATACATCATTTATATATAACAAAAAAAATTAGATATAAAAGTGAATAATAAATTTAAAATTTCATAATTCAATTAAAAATATAATGAAAATTGATAATTTATGAATATCATGCTGTAAATTCAATTTAAGAAGTTTTAATTCGAATTGATTCGTTTGAATTGATTTTTCAATTTAAATGGCTAACCATTTAAGTGTACCCATCATGTATATATTGAAAGGGATCATAGGAGAAGGACACTTTAGTAGCTAAATCTAGCATGATAATAACCAATATTTTAATACTCTTTGTATTTTCAATGAGTGAGAATAAATTACATCATTAGTTATTTAGCTTTTCATAATATTTTATTTTCATTCTTTTTTTATCCAACCGTAATATTTTAATTTTATTCTAAATTCACGCATCCATTAATATACCATTAAAATTTAAATGTGAGTTATAAAAAAAATTATCTTATGACATTTTGATAGATATAAACGTGATAAATTATATCCAAATTTTAATTTTATGTTTATGAATGAAAGAATTTAAAATCAATTTGAAATGCGGTGAATAAAAAAATTAATTTTTTAAAATCACTGAATAAAATGAAACATTGCAAAAGTCAATGGATTAATAATGAACTTTACTCAAGAAATTACTAATGCCAAAATGCAATTCACTATTTTTATTATTTTAAAATCTTGATTATCACTTTTTAATATTGATTAATATCTTTAAATACTATTAGTAATTTTTTCGCCTGAGTTTTCCGTGACGCAACCGCCTTTCGGCGACAACGTAAAAAAAATAGAAAATAACCACTCTCATCGAACTCGTCTCTCTGGTATCGTCTTTCCCTCTTTCCCCAATGGATTCACCGTCTTCAGCAAAACCATCGGAGAAATCGAGAATCGAGAAATTCGTGCGGAGAGTAATATCGCCGGCAGTCGTCGGCAAAAGGTGTCCGATATGCTTGAGAAACCTCAACGCCCGCGGAGCAGCGGTTCTCACGGGTTGCTCCCACGCTTACTGCTTGGGGTGCATTCGCAAGTGGAGCGATTTGAAGAGGAAGTGCCCTCTCTGCAATTCCACCTTCGATTCTTGGTTCTACAAGATCGACCTCTCCTCTCGAAAATTCCTCAAACAGCAATTACCAGCTCTCTCCAAGGGCAAACCGGTCATTCATCGACCTCGATCCACCTTAATTGATCGTCGACGGTGGGCTACTCTTTTGTCGAATTCGCAATTTCTTCTTGAGTTGCTTTATTTAATGAAATAATTCTTTTAACTTTAAATCAATGAAAAAAAATTGATTAGCGAGGTTATAGTTATACTTCTTTTGCACTTGGTTTAGGATTATTGAAAGAACAAGGGAAGAAATGAACAATGTTAACTGGAGAACCAGACCATTGCCTTGGCGGCGATCATTTGGGCGGCCTGGGACCGTGCCGGCCCATGTTATCGAAGAAAGGAAGCTTCAATGGCGAGCCAGGTACCTTTGAACTAATATGTATTTAGTTAATCAAAGCCTATTTGTTTATATGCTTAGTCCAATTAGAATTACTCCAATTATAATGCTCATCATTCTTCATTTCTTTGGGGGTGGAAAAGAAGAAGAGAAAAAAATTGGCTAATGGACATTTTGGGTTTCTTGCAGTGTGTATAAACGACGGTTGCAAGCTATGCCTGGATCTCCTGGGACTAGTTCTCAGCAGGTATGTATATTGAGACATGGTTTAGATCTTTGAGGTTTGCTACTTTTCATGAGTGGATCATTTTAATGTATGATGTTTTTCGCTTTCAGAATGTACCTAGGAATGATTGTGAGAAAGAGAGAATACTGCAGAGAATAAAACCATGGATACGAAGGGAGCTTGAGGCTATCCATGGAGATCCCAATCCATCAATCATTCTCCATGTTGTATCCTCGCTTTTCTTTTCGAGGCATGAAAGGAAGTATGATAGCTCGTCTGGGCAGCTTTGTGTTGAAGACGACTTTCTGGCTCCTTTGAAGCCTTTCTTGCACAATTGGACCAACATGTTTTGGCATGAACTTAGGTGAGGTGCATTATGATTTTATCCACAACTAGCGATACACCTTTGCTAAATCAGTTTTGCATTCTTAACTTCTGTCTAGGTTGCTGAGAGATTTCCTTTATCTGTTGCTTCACTGACTCATTGCTATTGTTAACTTTGAGCAATATTCTTCAGTTGTTTTGCAGAGAGTTCATTTACCATTGAAACATATGATGCAGTAGTTGAGTATAGACAGTTGGAGTAGTTTCCTAATGAGTTGCGTTTTACTTTAACCGATCTCTCATCCTGCACTTTTGTCCACATGTTAGCTAGCCATATCCATGGCTTGAGACATCAGTTCCTTCAGAGCTTGCTAGAGGATAGTTGCCTATTACTTGGGACTTCGCTAGAACTTCCCAAGTGGTATCTCCAATGGTCCTGTGACGGCTGCACTATCATTTGCATAAGCAATCATTTAACATGATCAGCTTAGTGAGTGAGGGGTAAATCAAGGTTCTAAAGCTATGATTTACCTGAGAGCAAAAATGCTTATTACAGTCATTTTGCTTGAAGGTTGACAGAAGAACCAAGAAGCAAGAGCGGAGCAGATGTTAAGGTTTGTCAATTCGACCACTGCTGGTTTAGGAGCAGATTAAGCATGTTGGTCCAATATAGGGACAGGCTTGGGGCCAACCAATAAACTGTTAGTATAATACATATACGGAATATCTTGCAAAATGTTTCCTTGGTACAATTTATTTGCGTATTTCGATTTTCTATTAACACTGAGATTCCCTGGCTTGATTGGCGTTGACAGAAGAAATTTATACAACAATTTTGCTATTAATGCTATAGATTGCAGTTTGATGAAAAGAGTTAAGAGATTCTATGTGACAACCTGATACATCAAGAAATGATCAAGTAAGCATTTGAACCAAATTTCATCAGCTTTTGTTTTAGTACAGACAACTTTCAGATCATACATCTTGCAACAGGTAACAATGCAACAAAATAATACATCTTGCAAGAACTACAGGTGCCTTTCACAAAGGCGTTTTTGTTAGTACAAGCTGAGAATCTTGATCGGGCATGCAATTGTCATTCTTCCTCTGGCTCTTCTTCCTCTTGGAGAAGATTTTCCCTGTTGTCGTGAGCCCAGAACCCCCGCACATCTATGAGCATGCTGGCCACAGTCCCACCCTGTTTACAAGCTAGGAGGTCAGCCAGTGTAATCGTCAGTGGATCAACTGGCTTGACCATATCCCAGATTTCATCTCTCACATCCTCAATACACAATTCGTAGTTGCCCCCTTCGATCCATTTCTGGTGTACATCTCTGTTTCAAGAGTAGAATGAACATTTCTTTCAGCTGATGAAATTCTTATAAAGGTAGTAAACGTTAAAATAAATCAGTAATACTACGTCAATGAGGAGCTAGCTAGTACTGAAGATCAAAATTTGGGTTCCAAGTCTAATCTATTGTTCATCATACATGTCTCTGGAGATATGAGACTTGCAGAAACTTGCTCAAGTACTACAAGCAGGAAACTTCAGAGTTTTCTGTGGGAAGATTGTATCAGGCAACATCTCATCTCTTTGATGCTCCCCTTCTTCACTTCCATGTTTTGAGATATATTTGATAGCTCAGGAGTGGAAATAAAATTCAAGCTTAGAAAAAGCTCATAGCACACAAAAAAGATTGGAACCATAATCCTTAAATCCAAAGGGAAAAAATAGTGGAACCACGATAGTCAAAATGAAACTTCAATTTGAATAAAATGAAGAGGGCTTCACCTGAAAAGAGAATGAATATCTGCTGTTGTGAGGTATCCCCTACCATGAAGATCAAGACAACGAAATAAATAGGTTAACCCCTCTGGAGTGTCTTTGTTCTCAAGGGCCAGAACAAAGTCAAGAAAGCTTTCAAAATCCATCTCTCGATTATTTCCAGCACCACTCTTGCCACGGCGGACATGCTCATCAAATACTATTGAAAGCATAATAAATGAAAAGTGAGTAGAACTCAGAATAATATCAACAAAAGCAGAAAGGATACAACTTCTAAATGACACCAGAGAGAGGGAAACTACACTTCTTAGTAAAGAAGATATATCATGGGTTTACTGAACATCCCGAAGTTTAATTCCGTTTTTGTTTAAAGGACATACTTTGAAGTAACAAACATGCCTAAAATTCAAACATAACAAATCCTGGTGTATTTTGAAAAGCTGAACGATGGTGTTATATCCTACCTCTTTCGATGAAAATCTCAGTTAGAGTTCCATCAGCATATTCTTTAAGCTCCTGCTTACTCAATGTTCCATTCATATCTTTATCGAGGGCAAGAAACATATCTACAGAAGAAGTAGTATTCAGTCAGTACATTATTACACAATATTCTTCCCTCATATATTATTCGCATGTTGTACATGTTCAAAAGAGAGGCGATACTAAAACAATCAAGATAGAGGCAATTTCTACCAAAACTATAAATATTCAAAGTTCTCACCACATATACGTTGTGCAGATGTCAAAGAAAACCAATTTTCAGCTTGCTCAGTGTCAGTGACTTCTTCCTCACTTTCCTGCACAGAAGTTTAAACAAGTAAAAAAAATCAAAATAAGAAATATATTTTCCAATTCCAAATCTAAAACAATGGTACATTTATGAGACATTTTCATCAATAATGTACCTGATGTAGTTCCATTAATTCCTGGAGACAGTTGCTAAGCAGCACTTTTTTTATGCAGGCTTTTCCTGCAAGAAATACTATAGATGTCAACTATTTGAACAGCATATGGGAAAACACTAAAACTAGTTATTATCGATAAGATGTCAACTCCATGTTGGTAAGCAAGTTTAGGTCATGCGGACCTCGTCTATGAGGATCACAAAAGAAGAAGAATTTGTGTGCAGCTATCCGACAGTACATTTGAATAAAGGCTGCAGGCATATCCCGTAATTGTGCCAGGTTAGGGATAAGACCACGAATATAGCCCTCCATTTCCTGTACAATAGCAAAATTATTCCAGTCTTTATAGATGAGAAATGAAGAAAAACAAACTTATGCTAGAGCAGTCGTCAATCCAAACAGAGATCACATGGTAAAAAGATCATTTAAATACTTGAAGGCCTCAATATGCAAAAACTCCATACATGAGGTTGGAGGAAACCATCTGAATCCTCATCTAGCTCACTCATATCAATTCTGGCCTGTGTAAGAGAAACCTGAAGAATAATGAACGATAAGCAGCAGTCAAGGAACCACTTCCTCAACAAGAATAAATTAAAAAGTAAATGAGGATGACATCTATTTTTTCGAACATTATGATTTTAGGCTAACTTCTATAGTCAACAAAGCAACAATCATAAAGGAACTGACCCTAAGGCTTACTAATAATTAAGAAAGATTGAAAAGTATAATAAGAATTATTAACATATTGAAATATTAAATAAATAAACAAAGACTCACTGTGCGCATCACATAAAGATAAAAGGGCAAAATGGCTATTCTTCCTGACTCATCTTTCTCGAACTTCATGAAGTTTGATGGGCTGAAGAAGCGTCGGCATTTTGGACCTATTTGCTCTGTACATACGGAGGCAATGTGACAAAAATCTTCATAGTTCATCTGCAAGTTAACAAGTCCAAAACAAGAGTCAAGTTGCGAACACAGCGGAGACAAGAATTATATCAACAACAACAAATTAAAAGTAGCTCGGCATTTTGGATCCCCAATAGCAATTCAGTGAACTGGAGGACGATTACGAATCCCGACCTTTTCAGCACCAGTGGCATCATCAATAACACAATTTTCTCTTAAGCAAACCCACATGGCATCCAGATCATCAGCATTTAGCAAAAGATCAGATTGCTTCTGCAATAAAGTATTACGAATGTGAGCAACGATTAAAGTGGATCAATAGATGCTTAGGAACTAAAACAAACAGTCAGAGAAAGCACCAACTCCACCTTTAAAAAACGATATTTGGCTAGCCTCTGAACCCTATGACTGATGGATCCTTCTTCAGGCTTCTAAACCGAGTGAAAACAAAAATAAAGAAAAAGAAGAATGAGTTCAAGATAATTGGGAAATGGAAGAGTAATAATACAAACAGATAATTTTAGTACATGCCTTCTTATAGAAACTTGGTATTGTGCCAGCTTCAGCACTTTTCTGCTGCTTATCTTTAAATATATCAAGCAAGATCCTCTTTGTCTCAAGCTCTACAAAGGACAGAAACAACATACAAAATCAGAATTGCAATGAGAAAACAAACATAGATTTCAATAGTAAAATAAAAGTAGCATATCCCCATTCAACCAAAAAGCAAACATGTTTGCAGGCAAGCATCATGAACTAATGCATATATAAGCAATTGAAGTATCAGCAAGTTAACGACTGCCTTACCACAAAGCTTGCAACAAATAAGGACCCAGTTCCATCATTTGTCACAAAAAACATAGCATTAACCAAGAATTATAACTAAAATTCAAACACTCAAGAATAACCTAGCTAATTAGTTTATTTATTCTCAGCCTAAGCACAGGCTTCCACTTCCACAGTTCACCGCATAGCAAAATACCCAAAAGTCTAAAATTTTAAACACCAATTAAACACATTTTAGTAAGAAAGACCCTCAAATTATAGCCTAAACCCGAATCAATCACAGTTAAGCAAAATAAAAAAAAATTCAAACACCACTAGCCTACATTTCAACCGAAGGAAGAAGCTTCGAAAGCAGAATTGCAGATTTTAAAAAATACAAACAAAAATGAAAAAACCATAGAACTTTTGAATAAGTTATATCGAAATGAAGGAGAGAGAGAAGAGAAACGGACCCATTAAGGCTTCGGATCCGAGTCCGGCACCGGATCCAATGTACCGGCGGAGATTTCGGACCCAAAGCATCGACGAAGCTGGTGGGATCTTCCGTTGCGTGGCGGCCTCATGGCTCTCGCCATCACTGGAACCACTGTACATGACGGAGTCTAGCCCGATCTGTTAATCCGAGTCGACTCGCACCAGTTCGAGTTTCCGATGTAAATCTCTTAACTCTCAGAATTGAAAACCCTAAAAATTAAACTCCAAAACCCCTATCCTCTCCAGTTTCCCGGATCTGTGGAAAAACAATTGCTTCAGTAGAGAAAAGCGCTTAGGATTTGGAGAAATTGTAATAGAGTCCCTTAAATGTTCCAAATATATAAATTTGGCCCATAAGTTTCTAAAATGCTGCTTTTTGCCCATAACGTTTACGAATTTACTGAATATACGAAAACTTAGAAAAATATTTTTTACAAGTTCAAGCAAATAATAATAATAATAATAATAATAAAAAAAAAAAAAACATTAAACCTTAATTTTCCTATAGAAAAACAAATAATTGAATTAAATTTAAAATATTAGATAATAAATAATACATAAAAACTAGATGCCATAGTTAATAACACAAAGAATGGTTGTTGCTCATTTGGTATTTCTTAACTGCCAATGACCAAACCAAATCATTGCAAAGAGTGTTTATCACTCCAACTCAAACATATCATGAATGTCTCCTCACTGGGAGATACTGATCCACATGCTTTGATCTTCCGTGAGGTAAACAAAAACCCCACTTTCAATCCTTCGAACAGATTGTTTATTTCTTAATAGATGTTGACAATGGTGTTTTTGGTAAAAACCTAGTTGAGATGATTTGATGTGATGCAGCAATCAAGAGAAAACAAAGTTGGAAGGAAAAGATGCTTTTCAGGCTGAGGTGGATAGAAAGCTCCAGCCTTTAAAGGGCAGATCCCAGTGCCCCCTTGGATTTTTATTATAAATGTAGACAATTCATAAAAAAAAAAAAAATTGGGTTCTCTCTGTTTCTCTCTTCCTTCAACTTGTATAGGCTAGGCATGCAGAAGGATCAAGGAAGTACTTGGCACTTATGTGCATCTTTGTCTTCATGCAGCAATGGAAAACGACTCTCCATTTCTTTTTTCTGAATGTTGTGTTTATCGGGAGAAAATTTGATAGTAATAACAAAATGTCAGTTTCCATTCTTGTATTTGATTAATCAAACAAGTTTTTTAATATGAACATCATTTCTGGTTTTGGGACCTCAAGAACTTTGATTTTTCATTTCAATTTCCATGCTTTTTAAGTACGAACTGAACATAATCAGCTGAGTGGAACTGAGCTAGCTTAACGGGGATATAGAAAGAAAAAGGGGAGACGAATTGTGAATATGTGTGTGTGTGTGAGAGAGAGAGGATGGTACCATCGAAGGAGTAGGCTATTCTGTGCTTTGGACGCATTTTAGCGACCAATAAAGAAAGAAAAGGCTACGGAGTACTAGTGAGAGAGTGAAGTTCTAGGCTGCGAAGATTTCGCCACTGTTAGAGCTGGAGAGTTGCACAGAGAGAGAGAGAGAGAGAGAGAGAGTAGACAAGAGGAATAAGTCGAAAATGCCCTCCAACTATGATAAGATACCAAGGACAGAGAGGAGGGACGCAGATAGATATAGTTAAAATTAACTGATTAAGATACTCCAGTAATAGTACTATTTTACTGGCATGTATTACCACCCACCGGCTAACTCCCACCACCACCATGACGGTGCCACCAGCGTTGACAACATTACCAGACAAGTCTCGGCGGCGCATGTTGGGTTTTGCGTACCCAAGGCGGCGCCTGTTGGTCCTGACGTGAAAGACTTCATTCTTTTATCTGTTTGATATGAGATTAACTAACGAATTCCAATTCTATTCCAGTTTTGATAGTTCCATTGGTATTGGTATTGGTTTCCTGTCTTTACCATTTCCTTTGCAATGAACTGATGAATTCAATTCAATGATATTATCATTAACTTTTTTTTTTCCATTTTGCTTCTTTAACATTTGGTGCTTTTATGGAACATGGCTAGGCAGTTAGCTAGACAGGATACAAACAGTTTGTTCTTTGTATGGCAGCAGTACTGCTGGCTCTTGCATGCCTTGATTTCTCTCAATAAAACATTCATAAACAGTAAATGTTTTTAAGTGAAGTTGGACCACTCTCTTAAAAGGGCAGATCTCAGTCCCTCATGGATTTTTATTATAAATTCAGACAATTCATAAAAAAAAAAAAATGAATTTGGTTTTTCTCTCTCTGCCTTCAACTTGTGTAGGCTAGGCATGCAGAAAAATCAAGGAAGTACTGGGAATTTATGAACATTTTTGTCTTCATGCAGCAATGGAAACAAAAGCTTTTCCCATCATTTTCTGAATGTTGTGTTTATAGGGAGAAAGTTTGATAGTAATAACAAAATGTCAGTTTCCATTCTTGATTAGTGAAACAAGCTTATAGTATGAACATCATTCTGGTTTTTGGACCTCAAGAACTTGATTTTTCACTTCAATTTCATGCCTGATAAGTTATTTTCATATTTCACAGGGTCTGTTCTTGCTGCTGTATGCAGAAACTTGAACAATGTGTAAACAAAATGCAAAGCAATGCATAGCTAAGATTTCATGTCAAAACATACAGAGCTCCTTGAGTTAATGCAAACTTTGAATTTTTTTCCAAAGCTTAAAGGAGTCTGAACTCAGGATATTCAATCTCAGATATCTGAAGGATATCTGAATCAAAGACCACAATCCAAGAATAGTTAAGTCTATGTAGTTTACCACGATATTTTTTCAAGGACCACAGGGGAGTAGAAATAAATCTCCCTGGTCGTGACTTATTCATCATGTAAATATATATATTAAAGAACCATACCTAAATGGTCCCGTAGCAGAAGATCTTATATTGGCGTAAATCCCACTCCTCTCCTCCCACTGGAAATGATCTTTTTGACCAGAAGAATATCAATGGCGATCAGCAAAGTTATTTTAATGGATGTGAAATGGGTTTTTGGGTTTGGGTTTGGTTTGTTAGGGTTCATCTTGCTGTGAAGAAAACAAGAAAATGAGTTGGTAACTGATAGCCAAAGAATAAGGAGGATGGAGGTTAAGGGAAAGAAGTCTGTTTTTGCACAAAGGGTATGCACGAACATCAAAGCTTAACTAGCTGCCAAAGTCTGAGACAACAAGTTTGAACAACATCTTGCATGAGAAATCTTCCTTTGCCAACAAAAACTTCTCTCTGTGTATCTGACATCGGCCTTATTGTACTCAGCTTGCAAACCTGCAGAAGCAGACAATCTCTTTCTACCAATAACACAACAAATACATGAAAAACAACAAAATAAGTAAATGAGAGAGAGAGAGCCTTATACAGCTCAAAACCTTCCCCACATTTTTGTCACAGCTCAACCATATGCACAAAGAAATTAAATACATACAAAAGCAGTCATAGAGAGAGGATATATAATCAAATACAACTGATTTTGCCAAAAGCTGGCTAATATTCAGTCTTAAGAAATAAAAATCAAGAACATCCAGCCATGGAAACTGAGAGCCTGTTATACTTGCTGTGGCAATGTCTTGTTTTGTGCAGCTGTCAATGACCCATCTATGGAAGAGTCCCATCTCTCTCTCTGTCTCTCTCTCTAGTAGAATTGGTATCCCCTCTTTCTTTCCAGATCGGATGACAGAAAAGGGACAAAAAGAAAAGTTAGAGTTAATTCAGGAAGAGACTTGAATTTGATACACTGATAACTACCTTTTCCTTTTGATCCCCTTCAATAATTATTATGTCCTCCAGTGCCTGTCTAATTAAAGTCACTTGCTTACCTGTCCACATCCACTTAGTAAAATAAAAAATATTTACAATTTGTATTAACACCCCACATGGGCATTGATTTTCTGGTGGACAGTTTCCACTGAGGGTGCTACTAGGCTTATTGATTTTCCCTCTGGGTCCATAGATATCACCATGAGAGTGTTAATAGGCTATCATCTCTTTCACTTGAGAGAAGTTGTTGCCGCAAATTAACACTTTGGCTTTGAAGTGTAGAGTCTGAACGATGTAGAATCGATGCCAAATATATACCAACAATTAGTCTATTAGCATTAAGGTATAGGCAATAACTTCTGGTTTGAGCTTTTATATTTGGTTTCAGGATCACACTCCGCTCCCAGAAAAGGAAAAAGAAAGCAGGAAAAAAAAAGAGTTTGCAAGGACAGGATAGTCTGCAGTGACATGGCTTCTCCATTGTCACTTTGATGAGATGCTTAACATTGGACAGCAATGTGGGGTACTGTGACAAGCAAATGAGTTGTCTCATGGTCTCTTGTTGATATTTCAGCAGCATTGAGCCTTACCAAACATCAGTTTCCCAACTTGTTACTTAAGTTCAGCCAGTTTGCTTTCTGAATACTTGTCGGCACCAAAGCACTAGTACTGTTGGCAATACTCAAATGCCCATGTAAATAAAGGAAGTTCAGTCATAAGGACCACTTGATCTCTGGTTCCTATAGCAGGTAATGAAGGTTTAGTTCCTTAAATCTGAAAGCTAGTCTTCAATTTCAAAATTCTATAATTGGATTCTTTTTGTGTCATTCTACACCTTTTGATAGCTAACCTTAGCTTGTTCCAATACTTCCATTGATAATTCTATGGCCCTTCAGTATCACTGACTCAATGATCAAGTCATGCAAGGAAGATGTCAAAGATTGCACCTATAGTTGGAGGAGCTGCTGGAGCACTTGTATTCGTGGCTATAATCGTGGGGTTCTTTTGGTTTTACAGGTCATGTAAGAACTTTTCAAATAGAACCTCGGAGACAGGTTCCTCGGATCCTTCTGCATTAAGTAAGGTTTCATTGCAACAAGCTTGAAACAAACAGTGTAGCAGCAATTTAAGCTACACTTTTTTACTCGATATTTACTAATTACAGCTCCCATACTGCAGTGGAGTGGAACAAAGGATCTGGACCCAGTTCATCGGCTGGCCAGTCTTTATTTGGACCTCAAGGAGCAAGGCAGTTCATACTGGAAGAGTTGGAACAAGCTACCAAGCAATTCTCTGACAGTAATCTCATTGGATGTGGAAGTTTCGGTCCGGTATATAAAGGTTTGCTTCGTGACATTGTTGTGGCTATCAAAAAACATCCAGGTGCTCCTCGGCAGGAGTTTGTTGCAGGGGTATAACCAGTTCTGACTTACATTGCTCATGTCTGATAGATATCTGTGTCAATTGCATTACAAATTGGAAATCCCTCTCTCTCTCTCTCTCTCTCTCTCTCTCTCTATCTCAAATGCTTTAGCTTTATCATTTGTTCATTATCTCAACTATTAGATCCAAAAAGTCATCCCCCAGGTAATTATGGAAGTTGACGTAGATATATGATTCTGTTGTAGACAAGTTCATGAAGAGAATTAACTGTCAAAGCTTCTTTTACTATTTTCCCACTTGATTCATCATGGTCTACTATACAGTTTCATTCCAATAAATGATTTTCTGATATTGACCATTTGATAAAGAAGCTTCAACATTATGTTTCTAATAGCTCCAAACTCAGACAATTGGAGTAGAAAGTGACACAATGGAGTGTCAAAACAGGTAATCTATTTGTCAGAGATTCGACATCGGAATTTGGTTACTCTTCTAGGCTACTGTCAGGAAAGTGGATCTCAGATGTTGGTCTATGAATATTTACCTAACGGCAGCATGTGCAATCATCTATACGGTATGAATCATCAACAACATAGATTTTGCTTGATCGTCGATGCAAGACATCACATTTTTATCTGTTGTTTGACAGATACCGGACGTGAGGCTCCAACTAGACTAGAGTTCAAGCAGAGGTTATCGATAGCTCTGGGGGCAGCTAGAGGTTGAATCTAAAAGAAACTGATGAATTGAAATACTAGAGTAATACAACTGAGTTTCAAAACTGAGGAAATTATGTTTATTGAATGCAGGTTTATGCCATTTGCATGGCCTGAAACCTCCCTTGATACACAAGAACTTCAAAACGGCCAATGTCTTGGTTGATGAGGACTTCATTTCTAAAGTTGCAGATGCAGGGATCTCAATGTTCCTTGAAAAGATAGAAGAAGCAGGTCCATCGCACACGTCTAGCGTCAACGTTTTCCAAGATCCAGAGTAAATTTAGTTTCTTTTCTGATTGCATTTTGATACTGTTCTGGAAAGAATAACCTTCACCAATGCTTTAGTTTTGTCCTGTGCATCAATGTCAGGGTGGAAGTATCAGGGAGCTTCACTGTAATAAGTGATGTTTACAGCTTTGGGGTCTTCCTTTTGGAGCTCATAACAGGAAAGGAGGCTGCGCATATCAATTACCTGAGATCCAATGAGAGCTTAATCCAATGGGTAATCAGAATATTATTACCCTGGTTTACTAGAACTTTCATTCATTTTGGGGTCACAAAGATCTTTGGAAAGATTTGGTGGGCTCTATTTTGTTGCTTCCTAAAAAATTTAGAGCAAATTTTTTGCAGTTCTTATAAAAATATGGTCACCATTCTCTACAATATAGGAATCACTAAACCACGATACCTTACAAATATCTGCTAATGCTAAGACCAAGGTTCATAAAGCTAGGGAGAAAGGTTTAAGTTTCCAAGTATGAATTTGAAGGAAGCTGCTTTCTAGTTCCTACAAATGTTGGACTAGTGTCTATCATCCATTAAGGAATTCACCAAAGAATATCTCATACTTGCTCCTAATGGTTTGTGTGTTTCATTGACTCTTAGTTCTAAGCATTCATTGCCTCATGCATGAAACTTCTGTTTCAACTGCTTTCACTAACTTATTGAAGGTACAATCACGGCTGAGTTCCAATGATTTTGTGGACCGTCGACTAGTTGGAAGCTTCACCATGGATGGCATTAGGGATATGATCAGGTTGACACTAAAATGCATGAGTTTTCCAGGAAAAGAGCGGCCGAATATGAACATGGTTGTGCTTGAGCTAGAACGGATCCATGAAAAGGAGATGGAATTGACAACAGTCAAGGGTGAGGGTACCGCAAAAATTACCCTAGGCAGTGAGCTATTTGCTTCAAAATAAAGAGATGATTCCAACTTGTTGGCGTTTGGTAAGCTTGGGCTAAGCTTAAGCTTACACAAAAACCACTAGAACTGTTTATAAGGTAACGAGAGAGAGACAATCTGGGTGGGTGTAGGGGTAGTCAAGCTGCTGTAAAGGAATGGAAATGTAATTGTGGATTTGATTTTTCAATGATGCATAGTAATAACCGTAACATATCAATCAATTATGAAGCGTTCTACTAAATGCATTCGTCAACTAAACAAGTTGATTACCAGAACTGCAAGAACAGGGCTGGCTACTACTTGTGATAGGAATTGTACAAGCTGAAAACATCAAAACAAGAAGACCAACCGATAGATTCCACAGCAAATTTAGGCGTGAGATTGTGCATAGTTATGATAATCAGCAACAAGAGAGTCATCCATGCAGACCCAAAAAAACTATATATTAAGTAATATAACAGATGAATCAAATACATGCAAGCAAGAGATGGCTTCGGTACTCTAATTTGACATCTCATTCCAATGTCTTCGTCACTCTGCAATTTTGATCTTTGTTTTGAGCATCAGTCTGGCAGAAGTTTCAGTTGGTTATCTCCAAAAGGTCCTGGCTACAGCGCATTTGCAACAATTTGAAGCCCTTGCTCCAGATGCCCTTGAAAGAAGCACCAGGCAAACAGCGGGTGAGCTCTTTGAACCAATAAAAGAAATAACATAACAGTGCCACATGACAGTTAAAAAAGTGGGAAAGCATGTTCGATGATAGACTCGCATCAGAATATTAAGATGCTGATTAAGATCACAAAGGTCACACTACCTTGTTCCTATAGGGAGACAAAAAAAATTCTCACTGACTTGGTAAGAAGACAACTAAAATCATGCATAGCAGTAAATGTTTTCCTATTGGTCATGCTTGTACATTATTCAAAGCCATGCATGCCATATACAAATAAGCACATCAATTTTTTTATGAAGGACAATTTCCTCGTACTAAATTGCTGCTTAGGACATTATCCAACTTCACTTTTCGGGTGAAAACACCATAGAAACTGCGGCTGCTGGTCCATTTGGATGAGTGCCCAGGAAGAATGTTAACTTCCTTCAGTCCGAAAGGTCTGCTCCAAAGGGATCCTAGAAAATAAAGGAGAACTGAATGGTGCTTATATGGCCCTGCCTGTCTCATAATGCGAAAAATGATTTTGGTGCAAGTAGATCAAACCACTTCAGCGGATACAAACGGTAAAGACAACGATTATGACAAACCTTCTCCCCCCACCTTTCATTTCATGTATAAGCACGGGGACCAAGTGCACAGATCCTTCAAATCCACTTCAGGTTATAATTTTGAAATGACTCGACAAGTGAATCCGTAGTGAATCCTTGTAAGCTACATCATCGATCCATTACAGTTATGGGTGACAGAAGAAAAAGATGCTTTTTCTATAAGTGAAAAGAAAAGGTAAATGAGCAGAACTCTGAGCTAATTCTCTAATATATACCAATAGATTGCTAATGAAGAAAAGTTTTGATTGGATACAGTGATTTAAAGCTGCGTAGATAGAAACCAAATGGACAAGTGGATGCTGCCATGACCCTCAAAAACTTCAGCCAAAACACAAAACTGCTGATTCTGCATCATCACGTTATGGCATCATGGTAACGGAAAAGATTTTTTTGCCAATTCTTTTCATAACCTCACATTCATTCATTTTCTTTTTTTCGACTCTGAAAATCAATATTACAAATTGGTTATCAATTGTACTTCCTGCTAGTCAGCAAATTCAGTTTCCCTTACATCATCAATAATTGTAGCCCGTCCTAAAACAGGAATCACATAGACCCAAACATAACACAAAACGATTCCTAGCCTACTGTGGCCCACAAGATGGGTTGTCCCCTCTTTGTCCAACGAAAGATCCGCGACGATTCAGGGAGGACGGGGTCCATAAAGATTTTACATTACCCTACTAAAATCCCTGTCCCTTTCATCATTTTTCAAGCAAAGTTAAAATCCCTGGTATCCCACTCATCGCATACATACCACATTCACCACAGTGACCACAGAAACCTGACTATTGCAACTTGCAATACTCACAACATGCACAAGAATCAAAGCAAATATAGCACCACGTAGGATTTTTAACAAGAACATAGCTGTACAATCAATACCCAGATCATGAAAGTCGGTGAAAGATTCATGGACAACAGTTACAGACATGATTTGCCATGCTGAAAGATATAAATTATGTACCCAAACATAAAGTGGAAACGTGATGAATGCAATAGAAAAAAGCTTCAAGTTCTTAAGACATAAGTGAAGTGAGCAAATGGGTACCTGAATGCTGAATAGCAAAGACAAGAAAGTTGCAGTTAAAGAGAACTGATCGAAAGGAGCTTCACATTTTGTACTATTGTTTTCTCCTTTTTCCTGCGTTGGGTTTTGGCTTTTTCCTCCTGGGCCATTTACTTTATGATTATTGAATTTTGGCCAACATACTTCCATATATATGCAATTTATACACTTTTCTTACAAGTTTTTTTGATTGAAACCCCTTCCCACTAGGCAACTTGCTCCTCTTTATATCTTACTCTAAATGCTATACTTATTGGACATTTGTCTTAGTTCTTACAAGTTTTTTGTGATATGACTCATAAATAAAAACGTGAAGTTTCCATATAAAATTCATATAATTGTTTGATATTAAATTCAATATTCTAAATAAAAATGTATTCTTTTTAGCAAACAGGCATATTAAAAAAAGCCCAAAATGGTGAGTCCAACTTTGGCAGTTTTCTAGCCCAAAACAAACTTGGGCTCTTGGGCCTTAACAGGGACACGTGGCGCGTAATCCGTCACCATATCCACTTGAAAATTCTTAAACCCTGCTAAAATCTCTCAGAACATTTTGCCGCTAACTTTCTCTGAGTGAAAATGGCTTCCATTTCCATATCCGCAAGCTTCTTTTCTCGTCCTCAAGCTCAAGCTCGCTCCAAAACCCAAAAACCCTCCCCTCAAAAGAACCCAAATCCTAAATTCAAGTCCAAGAAGGTTACGAAATTCAAGTCTTTCTCTTTATCTCCTCCTCCTTCTCCTCCTCCTTCTTTAGGTGCCCAAGCCACCACTTACACTCGCCTCCCTCCAAAAGAGGATTTTGATTTCGATTTCGAAGCTTCCTCTTCTAGCGAATCCGATGAAATCAAGCTTTCCGATTCTGATATCGCAAAGATCACCTTCAACGACGCTTCCTCTGAAATTGAAGCTGAAATGTTAAATACCGATGATGATGATGAAGTAAACGAAAGTTCGGGTTTTGAGGACGAATCCCACAATGGGAAAATCGCAGATTTTTATAATGGTGATGAAAGTTTAGATTCTGAGGAAGATAACGAAGAGGAGGTTTATTATTACGACTCCGATGGCAAACTCGTTAATTTATCAGAAAACGACGGTGATGACATGGGATTGGAAGTAAAGGAGAAAGGAGTGCCCGCGGTTATGCGATGCTTTGACCGAGCAAAAATTTATTTGAAAGCAGGGGATGGAGGGAATGGAGTAGTGGCGTTTCGGCGCGAAAAGTACGTGCCTTTGGGGGGACCATCGGGAGGCGACGGAGGGAGAGGAGGGAACGTGTATTTAGAAGTTGATGGAGCGATGAATTCGCTGCTACCGTTTCGAAACTGTGTGCATTTTAGGGCGGGGAGAGGTGCGCATGGGCAGGGGAGGATGATGTGTGGAAGGAAAGGTGAGGATGTGGTGGTGAAAGTGGCGCCGGGGACGGTGGTTAGAGAGGCGGGTAGTGAAGAGGTTTTGTTGGAGTTGTTGCATCCAGGGCAACGGGCGTTGCTTTTGCCCGGTGGGAGAGGTGGGAGAGGGAATGCTTCGTTTAAGTCCGGGAATAATAAGGTGCCTAAGATAGCTGAGAATGGAGAAGAGGGTCCTGAAATGTGAGTTTTCCTTTTTACCATCACTATAGTTTTGGTTGATCAATGCATTTTCTTTTTCTCTGTGACCGTGGTATATTTTTAGAATTCTACGTTGCTTGTGTTTAGGCTGTTAGTTGTTAGTGTTGAAGGGACTAGAGAGGTCAAATTTTCAAAAAAGGAAAGTTGAATTTTAAGTTCATGTTGTTTCGATGGGCCAAAGTAGTCTGAACTATCAGGTAGGTGCATGATTGAGAAACCATGTGTGCATGAATAAGTTTTAAATCTCATATTCTCATAAAACTGGATCTTCTTATCATGATGTCCTAATATTCACTAGCAGTTCTATTTTGTGAACTGGTATGGTAGTTTGACAGGGCTTTCTTACATCATGCGTTTTGTTTTCAGTGCCAATGAAGATCCTACAATTTTTAATTCTCATTGTTGATCCTAATAAAACTAAGAGCAATTACTATCTTGCAATGGCTTTTTCTTTGTTTCTTATAATATGTACATTAGGAACAATGTTACTCTTTGGCAGGTGGCTGGAATTGGAGCTAAAGTTGGTGGCAGATGTTGGAATTGTAGGTGCTCCAAATGCCGGAAAAAGCACCCTTCTGAGCGTGATAAGTGCTGCTCAGCCAGCAATAGCAAACTACCCTTTTACAACTTTACTTCCCAATCTGGGTGTAATTTCATTCGATTATGATTCTAGTATGGTAGTTGCTGATCTTCCCGGTTTACTTGAAGGAGCACACACGGGTTTTGGCTTAGGTCATGAGTTTCTGCGGCATACTGAAAGATGTTCAGCACTGGTACAGACTTCTTGTCATACAGTGCAACTGCCGTAATCATACTCATTAAAACTTAATTCTTAACTGCTTTTCATGCATTATGTTAGTTTGATTCACTATTGGTTCCTTTGACTATTAAATTTGATCTCCTTAGTTCATTTTTCTGCCAGTTTTTAGTACCATTTTTTATTTTCACCAAGGAAGGCATAGGATTTAGTTTGATATTCTACTAGTCTAATTGATAAGGGTAAAGGGAGGGTTTTTAGGCTGAACGCAATCCAATCTCTGCTTTCTGTTATGTAGGTACATGTTGTTGATGGCTCTGGACAGCAGCCAGAACTTGAGTTTGATGCTGTTCGCCTTGAGCTGGAAATGTTTAGTCCAGAACTTGCACAAAAGCCATACATAGTTGCCTACAACAAAATGGACCTTCCAGAGGCATATGAGAATTGGCAATCATTTAGGGAAAAGCTACAAGGTCGTGGAATTGAAATCTTTTGCATGAGTGCAGTAAAACAAGAGGGCACTCATGAAGTTATCTCGGCTGCTTACAGGCTTCTACAAAAAAATAAAGAATCCAATGAGGGGTTTGAAGGTTAAGTTTATATTTGGTTAATTTTTTAAATTTACTATTGTTCACATCCTTAATCATATTTCAGTACCAAATTTTGATTCTATTCTATGAATTCTAATCCATTTACAAATCCATTAAATTTATTGTTGACAAGTCTTACCTGTTCTTTAGGTTTTCAATATCCAGTAGATTTAAACCATGTAGCTGATATGGTTAATAAGCAGCGTAGCTCCTCCATTAGTGAGTTTGAGATCACTCATGACAGTAGTTGCAATACTTGGCATGTATTTGGAGCTGGGTTGCAACGCTTTGTTCAGATGACAAACTGGCGGTAAGTTAATAACTCTTATGTTTGATTGCCTATTATGCTCACTTTCTTCTTCTCTCAACTAGCTGTCAATTTCTTTCTGCTGACTCTATTTGGTCCTAGTTTATTGTGTCTATTTTACTTTGCTGGTACTGCCAAGTCTGCTCTGTCATATTTCATTTCATTCATATCATTTCTTGAAGTCTGACTTGTATAAATTGTGGAATATATAGTACTGAATAGTCGTTATGCTGCATTAAAACTGTATTTGACTTAGAGATCATGCAATGTAACTAGCCTCCAATGGAGTTTTAAGCATGAACTTTCCAGTTCCAAAACAGCATCAAGAGACTGTTCTGATAAATACCTTGAATAGAAGTTTATGGACTTCAGTTAATTCCCCATGTTCCGCACTTGATCAGATTTTTGGACATTTAATATTCTCTCTTATCTAGACTTTCTTTTCCCCTCCTGTCTCCTTTAAGTTTCTTGAGGTAGAAGGGTGCAGAAAATTCTGACAAAAAAACAACCTTTAGTGCAATGCAGAAATATTGTTAAACACATAAAATTGAGGGGATAAGGTTTGAATATTTCAAGTCCTCAATATACATAGCTCACCTTTTATGACAAACATTTTCCTGTAATTAATTATGAGTGATCAAATCTAGTTTCTGCATGCATCGGGCTGATACCAAAGGCTACTGTGATTTATTTCATATGACCTCGTCAATTGTTCAGTGCTTCATTCAATTTTGATTGGCATTTTACATTGCTTGTATTGGTGATTCCTTTTGTTTTTTGGTTTTCCTATTGTCTATATGGCATGTTCATTGTAGAACCTGTATAAACCAAAGTGTAAGCCATTTGGTTTTCCAAATGTAAATGGTTCATGCATTTCTTTGTTGGAGATATATGTAGCGGACTTTTACAAAAGCTTGGTTCTAAACAGCACAAAGAGCAACTAAAATGAGTGGTCTGATCAAAATATATACTATAACTATATCACTGCATGTTTCTCACTTACATTAACTGTGCCAAATTGATGTTACTGTTATTCCTTTTCTGATAACATGTCACTCAATTAAAACAGATACCTAGACTCTGAGAAAAGGTTTCAACATGTACTGGAGGCTTGTGGCGTGAACAGGTCTCTCATGAAGCTTGGGGTGAAAGAAGGTGACACGGTGATTGTTGGAGAGGTTCGTTGACGCTTCCATATATATTGTTATTGATGACATGTTCCAATTCATTGTGATGCATCGACCTAATTATAAATGATCTGCTCAAACAATAGCCTCCCCTCGTTGCTTCCTTTTTCATTTTGGAGAACTAGAATAATCTTGGTGGAGAAGAATATTTGATTGAACTTAAAAACGTGTGTATCTCAAGTCTTTTATGCAATGACCACTTGTTTTGCTTTGTCCCTATCAGATGGAGATGGTGTGGCATGATTCTGCTGAGAATTCTGGTACAGCAAACATGAAGAAGAGATCAACAGAGTCAATAAAATGGCCGCAGTGGAAGTAACTGGCTTTTGTAAATTTTGTCTGTGAGCTGCCATATTAGGAGGTCGGCCAAGGTGGGGGAGCATAACCACATCAGTTTCAGTGCCTGTTGATTGTATGATTTGGTTTAAACAATACTGACTTGAACATTCAATCTCCAGATAAAGCCAAGAACCTCTCCCTTCAGCGAAGAGGTAAGAATCGCTGCCTGAATGTTCACGTGCAACAAATAAGCAAAGCAATTATATGCAAGCAGATCATAAAGGTGCCGTAAATTCATGAGAGATAACATGGATCTTGATGAAATATTCTCAGATTGCCGCAATAACCAAACCATGGATTTGAGCATGCATGATGCTATTGTTGCTTAAACACATTCGCGTGCTTCACATTGGTGCGAAAGCACGGGCAAGCTCTTGTCCAATTCCTTGTATAAGGGCAACCATTGTCGATGTAACTCATGTATAATATTCCAATGAAGTTTCAAACTTACACCAGTCACGATAGAGAGCATTTATGCCTCAAAATATCCAAGTTCTGCGTCCAACTCCCTTCTTTTTGTGATAGAAGTTGCACACTTGCAATGCAAGCAATTTTTACAAGAAAATTGTAAATTTGGTTTCATCAGGATCATATATTATGTGCAAAATTCAGAATTAAATAGCCAAATTTGAGTTATAAATAGTTTATATAATTTGGGTTTCGACCTTAACCAAGAATTTTGCATGAATGTGACTTATACTTCGTATTTCTTCCGATGTTTTATTCAACAAACATTTCTTTTCAATTACATGACAATTTATAATTTTTTTCATATTCAAACACAAAGTCAAGAAAATATTAAAAATATTTGATATTGATGACATAACTTAATTACAAGTACATGTTCCATTTATTTTAGATTAAAATCAACATCAATTTAGATATGAATTAAATTTAAAAAATTAATATTTAATAAAAAAATTTTACAAGATAAAGAAATCTCAAATCAATTATGTTAAAAGCATCTAGAAATTTGAATATAACAAAAATTTCACCTATTAGTTTCGGATTTAATTTAACATAATATTCATTATTAATTATTTTTAAAATAGTAAAATGAAAAAGAAAAAAAAAAGATAAAAAATTCTCCAATGACGAAAGGGAAGATAAGAAATTTTGCAAGTTGCATACGGGAGCAAATCTCGTGGTCTGTGCCCTAAATCGAGAACAAAGGACAGCGTCACTCTCAGCCATCCAATCCAAATCAGACCGTCTCCATGAATCTTTGACCGACCCTGGCCTTTTTCTTTCTTAGATTCGCTTTCACTGTTTTTCAACATTCCCCCTATAAATCCCCACCGTCAATCTAACCTCGTATCCATCACGTGCTGTTTCCTCCGTGATTCACCTTTCCCGCCTTTTTCACACGTGCGGATCCCCTCCTCTCGACACCTCATCCCATGTTCATCATTCCGGTTCCACGGACGTGCCTTTGCGCTCGACACGTTATAGCACGGGTTCTGAAAGATTGTAACGGGATGGCATGGCAACAGTATCCACGTGTCAAATCGTTCATGCTACGTATTAGTCAGATTCCGCGTTTGGTGGCCTTACAAGGTTACGTGGCTGGCTATTATTGGTTGACTTGGAATGGTTGGCGCGTGGATTCCGCCTTGTGTTTGTTCAGTGCTCTAACAAATCAATTGCCCTTTTCCTTATTTTCTTTTTTTTTTCCCAAAAATCACCATAAAAATGAAAGTAGAATTCCTAAAATGATCCATAAATGTTTTTGGTTTGACAAATGGATTTTAATTATAATTAGAGTAAATTGTAATAGAAGAATAACATATAGGTAAATCTTTGTCAAAAATTACCAAAATACTTATAAAATTTACAACATAACATAACATAAGAATCTTTAATTATATGTTTAAATAATAAAAAAACTCTTAAATAATATTAATTTATATAACTAAATTTTTATTTTTTTATTATATTTAAATAAATTTTTTATTTACTTACACAAACTCTTAATCTTAACAAAAAAATAACATTAATATTTTTTATACACATGACTCATATAACTCATTTAACGTTAATTATCATGTGATCACACTATATACTTTGTGGACAAGACATTAGATTTGATTGTTATGAATTTTTCGTTAAGATTAAGAGTTTTTATAAGTACAAATCAAAAAATAAGATCATTGATCCGATTAAAATTATATATTGAATAAAAATATTTTCTTTCTTGTAATATTTTAAAATTTAAGAATTACATGTATAATATTAAAAAGAAAAAAAAGAACATATATAAGATCATATAGACATAGCCCATGCTTCATGATTACCAATTAGACCCAAATAACAAAGACTATGATAGACAATTAGTGTTTTTCTCATTGAAAATAAATCAAAAAAAAATTTTCTATGTCATCCCACATCACCTAGCTAGTAGCAAGAAGGAAAGGGGTTGCACCATGATTGCGTGAGTGGAAGGCCCGAGTGTGCGTGTTGACTGCTTGACTAAGCCAGCCTAAAAACAAAAGAAAAAAGAAAAAAAAATCACTAAAATTGGGACAAATTTTCATCTTCGATAAATTGTTGTTAAGTATTTTCAAGTCAAAGTCCAAAGACACTCTTATCTTTTCCCCTAAATCCCGGGTTGCCTTTAACACTAGAAAATGAAAGTGGGTTCTGTTTTGGAGAGTGTGCATAATTCTCATCTGACCCCCAAATAACCAAAGGCCACAAAGGGCCAAAGGGGACTTTCCCCCTCCAAAGAAAAGGTGATCAAGCGGGACAGAGGCCCCTCCTCTTCCGACCATCTGATTTTCTTTTGTCTGAATTTAAAACAAACAAAACCAATCCATTTCAAGGAGCTGAACAAGAAAAATATATTGGGACTTTGTCAAATCACACTCCCTCCCCATTCCAACTGGCCTCTCACATCTTTTCAGAAAGAGGGCTTGACTGAACTTTCCTTCTCTTCGAAATGGTAACATCCACAAGTAACCTTTCATGCAAAGCAGGGGAGGGGAGGGCATGGAAGGTATTGCATGTGGCTTTTTTGATAGGTTCATTTCTGGTCTAACCAGAATATGAGGAGAAAAGATGTTTTGCCCCTTAGACCAAGCCAACCCACATTTATGCACACAATGGAATCTGGGTTTTTCACCACTTGCAAAATCCTGAAAATTGTAAGCATAAGGGAGACAAACCTTTTGGCTAAATCTTTTATTCTGCTGCTGCACATATTGGTCCACATGTGATCAAATATTATGATCCCATGTTCTACATGGCCACTGCTCTATTAAGATAGGGGTGACATTAATGAAACAAATCCCACATTTTTATTTGTTTCTTTTCAAATCTTTAGTGGAGGAGTCAAGGGTCATAGATTCTAATTCCCCCCTTATGTTTATTAATTGGGGCATTCTTAAAAGAAATGAAAATGATTAACTAAGCATTTTAAAAAATGAAAACTCAAATACCCCATTCTCTCTCTGCTCTTATTTTTAGCTTCCACCCATTTAAATATGGTTGGTTTGATGATTCTTCTTTTTGGCTATGTAAATTTTTATTTGGTCCATTATTTCAATTAGGGTTTAGGCTAGTGGCAAAAGCATTGTAGGACTGGGGAAATGCTAAAAAAAAGAACAAGAAAAGGGGTTGACCCATTTGATTATGATTAGTTTTGTTTGCCATTCCCAATGTCATCTGGGCATGTGATCAAAGTTTTATTGAAATTAAAGAGGATAGTTTTACACACTTTTCCCTGTTGGAACTGCTAAAATAAATTTTGGTTAGTGCCCCACTTATACATTTGCTTTTTTGTTTAGGCATTTTTGATCTATCCTTGCTTTTGACAATTCTTTATTTGTGCTCCTTAAGCCTTAAATTTGATTACCCTTTTGACTATAGCCTTTCTTCTTTCCTTGCTTTTGGAGATCAGAGACAAAAGAGTGAACATTTTGCTGAAATTTTGAGTTTCAAAAAGATAATCTGAAAAAGGAAGGTTTCAAGGAGCTCGAAAATGTGGAATGACCCACCATCTTTATCAGTCCCCCTTTTCTCCAATTTCACCTTCCAAATTCCTTCTCCCAAGCTACAATGTTTGTCTTTCATGAGTTCAAAGCATGTTCTTATAATCATAAGATTGGAATCAATATTGATTATCTTTGAAAAATATTAAAATTTTAAAATTTTAATATCTATAACTTTATAATGATATTTCGTTTTTAAGAATATGGAATAGTTCGATGCTATTTGTATAAATGAAGAACAAGTATTTAATCTTGTTTCCCCTTGCATCAAGTCAACTAGCAAGACCACAAATGCAGGATCATTGATGCAAAACTTGAGACCAAGGTCAACCTCTACAATGATTTATACCATAAGATGAAAGAACCATATTTTACCCATCAAATGATTTAGGTGAAGAAAACCCAAGATTTGAAGGCCATATATAATGACAAATAGAAGACATCAAAGTCTTTTGACTTACGGGGTTCATTGGTGAAGGGACCCCTTTGGGTTTTTGCACTCTGTTTGTGGAATTGTTTCCATGATACATGACAGTGGAGCCTTAAAAGAATATCTTTCAATTTTAATTTTTTCTTCCCCTTGGGGGCATTTTCTGCTTAGTTAGAGAAAATCTTAACTGCTCCCTTTGAAAATAATGAAGCAGACAAGAACTTCTGATTGATTAATTTTGCTCAAAATGCGGATTCACATGTGCATATCAAACTTGATTACAATGCATACTAAACCATTAGTAAATCCAGGAAGTTACATTTCCCTTTGTTGTTTTTTGGTTCTAGGGCAGAAAAATCCCAAGCATCTGGTTTTTCCTTTTCTGGTTTTTTGTATACAGGGTCATGAATCCTACCATTCAAGGGCATTTCTTTCTTACCACCACCAACCACTCAATCATAGTCTCACAGTTTAGTTCTTGTTAAGTTTGACATTCTCACAGGGTTTACTCCAAGGGCAAAAGGTTTCTTTTTCTATGGAAATTTTAACAGCTAATGCAGCAAGCATTGTTCCCTAGCATAAAGATGCTATCAAGCTTTCCTTTTCAGGTAGATTAGCTAGAAAATACGCGGTTACACGTGACTTGATCATTGGGAGATGAGTAAAATTTTTGTTTCTTTCTGATATTTAAACTAACCCCATTAGCTTACATTGACCTGATGTAATATTTGCATCAGTAGAAATGATAATCCTTTGTTATAGCACCACCACCTGGTAACCCTTTGAAGGTTAACCTTTTTATTTTAATCAGTGGAAAGGAATCTTAATGTTTTCACCCATAAGTTCAAGCCCTTGTAATTATTTTGAGCTCAAGGAGTAGAGAATTTAACAGGAAAAGGGATGAAATATATAAAGATTTTTGTAAAGTAGGTAGGAAAAGGTAGGCTGGTCTTTCCAGGGAATGACAACTGCGATGTCCTTTTCCTCCTCTCCATGTTCAAATCACTCTCTTTAAAAGACTTGCCTACACTTGCTCACGCTTCCATTCAGAACCATCTCCTCTTCTCCTATCTCTACATTCTTCCAGTCTGCCCTATACCTCTCTCTCTTAGCAGCATTGTCCTTTTCAGTCTCTTAACAAATAACAATTATCTCCACGAAAACGCTGCTACATTCCCTCCAGCATCCACTACTTTTATAGAGATATGTCCACATCAAAAACCTTGGATAAACCCTTTGGATATGAGCCAGTTCAAACTCAAGCAGGTTTTGCTCTGCTGCAGCGCAACACATCCCCATCTCAGCCTGGCGAGAGGCGGGGAAGAAGAAAGCAGGCAGAACCCGGGAGGTTTCTTGGAGTGAGGCGGCGGCCTTGGGGTAGATATGCTGCTGAAATCAGGGACCCAACAACGAAAGAAAGGCACTGGCTTGGCACGTTTGATACAGCTCAGGAAGCAGCTCTTGCTTATGATAGAGCTGCACTTTCCATGAAAGGCACCCAAGCGAGAACAAACTTCTTATACTCTAACAACACTACTTTTCATTCTCTTCTTAATCCCTTTGATGTCCAATCCATTTTACCAACTTCAGAGTTCCTTACCAGCTCTCAACCCAAACAAGCAACCAATCACAACAGTGCACCTCAGCCTGACATTTCCCACAGTAAAGCCCCGATCCAATCTAATAATGACCCATCATCAGCTGATGAAACTCCATACGGGTCAGTAGATGATAATAGTTTCTTTCTCTCTAGTGATACTAACTCAGGCTACTTGGCCTGCATTGTTCCTGATAACTGCTTGAAGCCTCCTTCCACTCCCACCAGCCCACGCGTCTCAAACTTTTGCTCCATGAACCAAATCTCCCATGAAAACCAATCACATTTTGATAATTATGCTCTGCCTCCAGATATAACAAGCTTGCCAAAGTCTGATAACATGGAGTTTCCGGGTTTTGATGAACTCAATCAGGGCTTTTGGAGTGACCAACGATCATGGGACATGAACTCCAATGAACTCTCAGCTATGATCAACCCTCCCTTGATGGTTGAAGATGGGTGCATGGGAGCTTTCTATCCCTACAATGACAGTGCTAGCTACAACATGATTCCACAAGCCACTTCTTCAGTAACTTGCTCTCCTTCAGTGCCGCCTTTTGGTGATGTAGTCGACTTGGGGTATTCACTCTTCTGAGTGTTTTTCCAGGGTCCAATATCATCCATCAGCAGGGAAGTGCTGTTCTCGCCCCACCACTTGCATGCAATTTGTTATTATCTAGTGTCATTTTCAGTTTTCTTTCCAACTCCTCTCTCATATTCACTGTAATTAAACTTTTAGTTTCCTCATTTGAGGGTAGAAAGAGAGTTGGGGAATATCCACCTTAACTTTGCCAAATTGAATGGAAGTTATTTGAAAAAAGCTGTTCTGTCATCGGAAAACAGGTAACATGATCTTCATTTGATAACGGCCTGTCATGCAGCCTCACTGTGAGTAGAAATCAATTAATACCGACTGCCTGATTGCCTGTCTCTCTTTTGCGGCTACTTGCTCTACTTTTTCTCAACAACCCTAACCCTTACACCAAAATGCAATGTAAACACCTAGGTCTCCAAGATTTGGATTCACCATTAATGTTTACAGCTGTTTGCCTGTCACCTTAATTGCATTTCTCTGAACCCAACCCAATCTATCCGGATTCAATACTTTAAATATCGTCGGTCAGAATTTGTTGCATTTTTCTGTTCCCTTTGTTTATCTTAAGTTTAAAACTCAACCTTGGGTCACTCATAATTTTCATAAAATCCATGAATCCACACTCCACCAAGTCAGAAACTTAATTATAGCTAGCTAGGTATAGTAGATTGATGAGTTCATGATAATAAACTTGATGCAGCAGGCACATCATGAACATGAATAATAACTTGTTTTCTTTATACCAAACAGCTAAAAAGGTTAACGTAGAAGGTTGACAATTAAACTTCACTGTCCCTAGACACAACAGCATAGAGCACCTCATCTTGCACATTTGCAAGGATTACTTTTGCTGATTGCTGGAGAAATTCTTAACGGCAAGGGGGGCCTGTTTGTTTGCTTCAACGTACAGAACTGGCCCTAGATGTAGTGCTTGGCAATCGGTTTTGTTTTATCATCAAGCCAAATCGTGCTACTTCCTGCTGCTGCTTCCTTTTACGAGGAAAGTTAAAACAGATAGAGCCCTTTGCTCTCTTTTTTTTCTTGTTTTCTTTCTCATTGCCCAATTTGGGAACCTTTGTAAAGTGACCAGATTCAGAAAAGTATCATGATCTTCTGCACCAAAGGAGAAATCCATGGTGGCGGACAACTTGACCACATCAGAGGAAATTGTAGAGAGCTAAGGAAATCAAATGGAACTAAGTTGAAGAAACTGAAGATCACAGTTAAAAATGCTGTTCACATTGGGGAAAATGCTGTCATTTCTAGAGGATAGTGATCACTTGCACAAGCAATATTCACAACTAAATGTTCTCTTGCCTGAAATTTTGGAACATGTAAATGAAGCTGTGATAAAAAGAAGTAAAATCTTGAGGACAAAATGATAATGAAATTGAAGTGACCATGGACATTTATTACAGTCAGGAGTAATTCTCATATATTCGTATATCATAATAAATTTATCGAACGTTGTCAAGCATTTCCATTGTCACAACATAATTATGTATCTAATCCCACATATAGTCACATTTTGATGCCTCCTTGGAGTTCTCTTTGATTACTTCTCTTCTTCACAACAACCCCTGATAAAAAAAGTGGGGGAACAAGAACGCCTTCAAGTTCCTTTCTAAGGTTGAATTGGAAATTTGTTCCCAAATTGAAAACAAAAATCTAAGAATGATGGACATGAACACACAGTTGATGTAAAAAGGAAGAATGCTGTGGGACCGATCTTTTGTTTCGGAAAAAGATCAGACCATAAACAAACGCAACAGACTCCAAAAATTGGATGGGTTGACACAGATCTCCCTTGTGTAACTGCAGGTTCTTCAATGGTTATTCAAAAGCAAGGTGTATGGGGTTTGCTAAACTTTTTAGGGTTTGGCCATGGGCTTATTGAAGATGGAAGAGATGGCCCTATGAAGATTATATGAACACAGAGATGATCAGAACTGCTGTGTGCTAGACCCGAATCGTGGAACCATGATAATAAAGAAATGAAGCCTCCTATTTTTGAAGACTTGCACAAAAAATAATGTTTTGGTTCATGACCTTGATCAAAAAAAGGGGATTGAGGCAGTTGCTTCTCTTGTCTTAGCTTGAAGTGCGCCCCTCAGTGCTGCTGCTGCCACTGCCAGTAGAAGAGGACAGAACTCTGACTAGACTGTTGTATGCTTGACTGAGGAATAGGTGCACCTTCAGAGAAAACTGAACCAACTGATTCACTCAATGTGCTCACTGATGAAGACATTACAGCTGTAGCAGGGTCCTTGCTGGACCCCGAAATAAGATCTGGTCGTAACTCCGAAGATGAGGATGATGGAGCTAGAGTACCAATTGTAGATCCAACAGGATAGGGTGCAACAGGCATATCAGCAAGGGAAGATGCAGATGGACTATAACTTAAGGTTCCCGTAGGATGATCAAATTTGCAAGCAGCTCCAAACTTGCAGACTCCACGTTGTGAATAATGAGAGCAAGGTGGTGCACCCTGATTTCATTAAGAAAAACACACAAATAAATACATGTACAATAACTTACCAGGAAATGACTCAAGTTAATATATGCATGATTACTGCAACAAAAAACCATAAGGGTCACAGCTGAAAATTCTCCAAGTGGTGGAAAAGACTCGACATATAGAAATGGCAGGTTTAGAAAATGATAAAAATATTGAGGCCAAAGGACAAATATGATAACAGAACAAACAAATGCAGGACAAAAGAAAACTACAAATTCACAAGAAGTTCAAGTTCCCAGTAGAGAGTTCCTGCTATGAGCATAATTTTGCAATTGAGCATGAAGCTTATGATAACCATCAGTAGCACTGAAAACTGTATTTTAATTAGAAGTCCCGAGAGAGAGCATCATTTGTTCAATAATGCTTTCCACAGATGACAACCAAAGATCAACCAGACTTAACTTACTTTTCTCATTCAACTGTATTCATGCTCTTGAAAATAGTTTGGAGAGGAAATAAAAGAGTGTGAAGATAACATGGATAGGTCCTATCACAAATATATGTTGCATGGCTAAAGCACTAAAAAGAAACCATAGAATAAAACATAATCAGACATTCATGTAAGAAGATGACAGCAAGTCTGAAAATTAACCAGCCGGGTTGTTTGAAAAGTCAACAGAATGACATCAAGAATGAAAGCTGATACACCAGAAGCAGCACAGCCAACCACAAGAAATTGAAATAAATGGGATATGGAACATGAATAAATAAATAAAACTATGCAATCATAATTTTGTGGTATCTCAGCAAGCTTTGTTCCATGATATATAGGTTACAGTTTCAAGCATATAACCTCACTCAGAGAGAAGACATTCCAATTCAATGCAGTCATTTCACTAAGATAGTGAAGTAAGCCTATTTTTTACTATATTTAGATAAAAGTAAGAAGAAGGCCTTAGCTCATGCAGATTTAAAATTTTCTTCCAATCCTAAGATTCTTCTTCAGCCAGTCACTATAACCAACAATTAAGCTCTCCATCATAAACCCTGCAACCAAGCTAGCTTCCAAGGCATGACCATAATTGAGGATAAGACTGTTTTCCGCATCTTGTTCTGACCACATTCACCTACGCCACATATCTAGCCACCTTGATTAACTTATCATTTTAGCTTGTTCTGAATTCCAAGATAGAAATTGCTTGAAAAACTTAAAAGATAAAAACTCAGGTGTTTCCATGTACAAATTATCAAAATCCCTCCATCATCCCAACTAAAATGTGAAAAAAACACTCATCAAGACCTTAAATTACTTGGTCAAGGAGTAGTACTTACCATTATTCCTCATCCCAACAGTCCTGGAGATTTATGCTGAAATTAGGAATTAACACATCAAACATCATCTGGAACTTTATAACAACACATCAACTTGTGCAGTTGACAGAACAATTATGGTCAAAAGAACTACTGAATCAACATCTATAAATTACCTAAAATCCAACTCTAGGTTACAAGACCTTTAATGTTTACAGAGCTTGCATAATCTACCCTAGAAAATTGAGAATCACAAACTCAACCCCAGATATGTTCTATCCTTCATAGCAAATCAATAAATGCATGAAAGATCACACCATGGAGGATTAAGATTTGTACTTTCTTGTAAATTATGTTAAAACGCACTATGAAAAAAAGGAATAGAAAAGTAGGAACCCGGGCAAGTCCAAGATCAAGAACAGAAAAAGAGAACAATCTTCATGTTTCAATAATCAACAAGATAATTCATTAAAGTCACGTAATCTACACATTCACCATGTAAAAGTATTTTCATCAAACATGCTTACATAAGTCTAGGCAAAAAAGTGCCAGGAAATCCTACATTGGCTAAAAAAAATCTACAGGTTCATGCAAACAATGAAGGATGGCACATAAATCTATAAAACAACAACAGAAATTCACACCAGAATGACGTTCTTTAAGTTCACAAGTGACATGTGATAACAATGTATTGATCCAAGTCAAGAACACTTCAAAATAATAGTTGTGGGCTCGAAGCATCCGAACAAACACAGAAATTAAGCTAGAAGTGCTCTCAAAAAATGCAAATCAACTTTCGGATTCAGTAACAGGTTAAGAGTTCAATCAGCCACACATATAACTAAAAGAGATTCTAATGTTTGTATGACCTCATATGTAAACCTTTAAAGGGGTTGAAAACTCAGAGAAGACTGGGGGGAAGCAGAACAGGTTCCTAGAACCAAGAATTGGTACAAGAAGATGTTTGTCATGCTCAGACACCTTAAGCATTACAAAATTGAGTGGAGAACAAAAGTCTGATAGCTTCTTATAAAACTCTGATTCATGCTGACCAGTTGTAAGGTTCAAGCATTATCAAATCTAAATCCAGTCTTGTATAAAACATCACATTAATAGGACATTTTACGAATTGCTTACTGGACGAAGAGGAAGACCAAGAGGGCCGAGGATGACATCTGGCTTTGGTGCAATCACTTCTGGTGGATGATGATATCTACAGGAGGAACCAAATTTACAATCACCTGTTTTCATATAATACTGACATTCTGGTTGGCCAGGTCTCTCTGGAAATGACTGCTCCTTCTGACTACTACTTGAAGGACCAACACTAGTAGGTACAGGTTGATAAGGTCCAGTATAGGCAGGTGCTGAAGGAGATAATGGAGTTACCCCAAAAATTGAGCTTGATCCAACAGTGGGTTGAGTACCAGGGCTGACAGGTGCCTGCACCAGGTGCATTAGCAACCTCAAACATAAAAATAATAAAATGTAACCACCATTGAGGGAACTGAATAAAGTTTAATTAACGTACCATATAGGGATTCCAACTTGGAACAGAAACCATGCCTGGGGGAAGCAGCAAGGGACCATAGGGGCTTTGCATATATGAGCCTGGCATCAGGGGAGGCCTTGCCATTACAACTCCATATTGTTGAGAGGAAGGGCCAGATGGGGACTGCACTGTGGAATATAACGCAGGTGCAGGAACTGGTGTTGGTACAGATGCAACTGGAGGAGCTGGAGATGGTGCTGGAACCTGTGCAGCAGGTGGTGCAGGATGATGGAATTTACATGATGCACCAAACTTACACTGCCCCGTCTTCACATAGTAAGAACACTCCTTTTCACCCTGTTTTACAGTATTGCTCAATTATTAAGCGAACTTGACAACATGTATCTAAAAGATTAAGTGCCAATGTCAAGTGATACAAACCGGACGTAACGGGTATCCATAATAATTTAGTAGCACAGGGCTAACAGAACCACCTCCCTGCTTGGGATGATGGTACTTACAGGAAACACCAAATTTACATGTCCCTGTCCTCATATAATACTGCAAATCAATTAAAAAGGAAACCATAATCAACACAAAAAGTAACTTGCCATATTTCCTAAACTGTCAAACCAAACAGAATCTATTCACCGAAAATACAAGACCTAACTCTATCCTTAAACATAAAATGAAGTGACATAATTTAGCCAATGCACATTGTTGAAATCTACCATTTCAGCATACATATCTCGATCTTTTCAAACATTTAAGAAACAATCTAATAAAAAGTACCTGACAAACTGGCTGGCCCACTCTCTCCGGATACTCCCCCACACCACCTCTTCCAGCTCCCATAACCTAAGGCAATCATCATCATCATCATCACATTTCTTTCACCAAACAAAACCAATGAACATCAAAGTTTTTCCAAAATCAAAATAACCAATTACACTAGATCTTAATGCAGTAACCAAAAACTGTCCATTTTTACCCTAAAATTCGAAACCCCATCAATCCAAAGACCATGATCAAACAAAAAAACCAATCAAAACCCTTCCGGAAACACTAAGTCAGATAAAAAAACAAAGAAGAATTAGATCATATTACGGATTGCTTACCGCGGCACGGTCACGTGGATGATTGAATCGACACCTTGAGCCGTAACCGCAAAACCCAGTCCTCAAATAGTAAATACAATCAGCTTCTTCGGGTCGCTCCGGGTACGATTCCGGGCCACCTCCTAATCCCAACCGCCAAACCGGCTCTACATTTCAAACAAAAACCCCGTATCACATCCCACATTACACAAAAGGAAAATAAAAACAAATCCAAAAACCCCCCACATCCCAAAACAAAAGTTGGAAGTCCTCTTTACCTTCGAGCCCCGTTTCGGGTCCCGGAGCTGTCCATTCCGGTTGCGGATCGGACTCTGGGCCCCGCTCCATTTAACGTACGGCCAACAACCCAAACAACCCAAACAACCAATTGTAATCCGATCAAATGGGTGTCTCTGTGTGTGTCTATGTCTTCCTCTCTAGAGAGAGAAAGCAGAACACAATAAGCAACAAAAAAAACTAAGAGAGAGAAAGCCAAAAAAAAACAGAAATCTCTCTCTCTCTCTCTTCCCCTTCTCTTCCTTCTTTCTTACACTCAACCAAAAAAACCCCAACTGTTTTGTCTGTTGTTTTTCGGGTTTTGTTGTTTGGTTTGGTTTCTCTCTCTCTCTCTCTCTCTCTTAACTCCCTCTCTCTCTCTCTCTCTCTCTCCGCTTGAGTCCTCAAATCATTTGCTGTTGTTTGATCTGTCTTTCCCTTTTTTATTAAGGCGTCGGTTTATATACGCGCCAAATAGAGGGAAAAAGAATTAGCTAAAATAAATAAAAAAAAAAGAGGTTAATTATTTTAATCAACTGACTATGTTACTTACATTAATCAAAGTGATTTCAAAATGACAGATATCTCCTTGTACTAAGAGGATCTCTCTGTCGGGAAGAGGGTAAAATGGTCATAAAAGGTAATAATAATGAGATTTAGTTGAATTAATTAATAATCTAGTGTGGCTGACTGTATTAAAGTGTGGTAAGTTGGTTTGTGTAACGTGGCCAAAAAAAGGAAAAGGAAGATATCCTTAAACACAGAAAAAGGTGCTGAATAAACTTAACACTTAGATTAGCCATCATGTTTGGTCTTTGTACTTCCCCTTTTCAATATTTTTTTCCCTTTGCCTATTGTTTTTACTTTTAAATATATTTATTTTTATCAATTAAGATATACACTCTAACTCGATAACTTATTTGATAAAATAATCCAATCATCCAATTAGAGTTGAATGAAAAAAAATTATTTCGATTTTACATAACTAATAAAAAACATGTGCACATTTTAATGAATATATTTTTATTCTTATTTGATCTAACGTGATGCAAGATTTAAATGATCGAATCAAATTATTTGGGAATAATTAATATATATTTGTAAGTTATTTGAAACGTGTGTTACATGCCTCTTCAAAAATTTAAAAAAAAAAAAACAAAACATTAATTAATTAATTAGAAACAAGTTTTAACCAAAATTAGGATCCCATTGAAAAAAACACTAAAGCATGGGAAGAATCTTGCTCTATTGAGCAAATCATTCCCTTAATTTTATTACTAAGGCAAAATCTTGGTTTTGGTTCTCTAGCTGTTTGCATTTGGTTGATTATTTAGGGGGGTATTAAATTAAAATTACTATTTAATTAACATATTAATTTTGGAATAATAAAAGAAAAGTGGGGCATATGTCGAAAAAAGTTTTTCTTTTCCTTCATTTTTTTGGTTTATAATGTGAACTTTTTAACTTGGAAGTGTAAGGAAAAAATGGGGTTGATAATGACACCTATGAGGGTAACACTTTTTAGATGAACCAACCATGGTTCAACACGTGTTCCATATAAGACCTTTCTTGCACAGGCAGTTTAACGTCAGACTTGCTTTCCTTACGCGCTGATTTGTAGAGCGTGAAAAGTGGAAAGTCAAGATCATGCAATTTTTTTTTTTTCATTTTGTTAAAAGCAGGATCCATTGAAATGGACAAAATATTATTTTAATGTAAGAGGGAATGATAATAGTAATTGTCATGGATTTACTTGAATTTTACTATAAGGGAATCTTATGAATTGTGAGTGTTAAGAATTTTTGGTTAGAAAATTATTAAAGGTAGTTTGTTTATTCTAAAAAGAATTTGACTCAAATTATATAGACTAATTAATGTGATTTTAATTTAGTTATATACTTGTTTAAATTAAGTTGGGTCTACTCAATTTCATCTAGAAAAATATTGAAATTTTACCAAAAATTAAAAAAAAAAAGAAAATTAGCCTTTTTAATGTAACAAGAAAGTCAAAGCTCAGGTTCAAAAAGGACCTTTTTGTCAAAATTTAGGTGGCTTTGCTGAAAGAAAATGGGATAAAAGTTGAAAGAAAAAAAAAAAGGAGTTGTGAGTGCTGACAATCGCCTAGCTGGAGCGTGGGCATGATTTCCAAGTCTGTTAAAAACCAGAAGCTAGTAAACATCTTGTGAAGGTCGTTTCAGTTTGGAAAAAAATCTATTTAATGGTTTAAACCTCGCAAAACCAACGGCTGAGATCTTCGTTCTCCTCAAAAACCGACGGTTAAGATCGCTTTCACGTCATCAATCCGGCAGGAAACCGAACCGGGAATGAGCGGGAGGAGTAGTAGGTAAGAAGTCTATAAATGCACAATTGCACTGTACAAATAGAAAACCCAAGATAACCGGACGCAGGCGGTGGGAGAGAGGGGAGGTAGGGAAGGACAGTCACCGGAGCAAGCGGTAGTCAAGTGGAAAGTACTTTTTGTTTGACTTGGACAAGTTTTGGCCACATGTGGGCACTTTTTAAGATTTGATGCATTGCTCTGGTGACCGTATCTTATCAACTAAATGTCGGCGAGGTTGAATTGATGGGTTTTTTTGGAAAAAAATTATTAAAATTATATTTTTTTATTTTTAAATTAAAATTCGAGAATTTTAGATTAAAAATTATCATTTTAAATAACATAAATCGATTCATTATAATTTTAATCATTACGATATTCTTCAATCATATGAATAATTCAATATAAATATATAAAAAAGTGACAATATTCATACGGCATTGTTTTAATAAAAAGATGAAAATTTTAAAAATTATTCCTATATTACGATTTGAATTCAAAATTATGTCAAACGGATATAATATTTATTAAAATTTTATTTTAAACATGTTTCACATAAAAAAAAAGTATAAAAATTTGACCGATTTCAAATACTGATGAGGTGACCAATTTTGATAAAGTAAATTAAGATAAGATGTTTCATTCTAATTGAGGTAAATAAGTACAAAAAAGTTATTATTAAATATTTTTTTTATAATTGAGAGAGTGAAATTCGAATTTTACTTTTTAAACAGTAAAATTATACACCATTGAACATGTTTATGTAAACAAAGATTTGTATGTTTGTGGTCAGATGCAAGCAATCTTTGTCATAATTTATTGGTAGCAAAGATGTTTAAATAATTTAATGCAGGCAGGTACATAAGACATGCTAAAATGGGCCTAAATAAAATACTGTAGGGATTCATGGCCCCCTCTAAAATCTTTCAAAAAATCCATCACTTTTGTTACCTCCTGTTCAAACACATAAAGTGCTTACCTTAAAGGTTTCTATGACCACTACATGTGAAATCTATGGTCACCTATCATTCTATATTAGATCCTCTAAGCTATCATTTTAGAAAGAATATCTCTAGCCACAAAATTCAAATTTAAAAGAAAAATTTAGGTGTTTTCTTTTATATTAAGTTTGGGATTTCAAATTTTTATATCGACGTAAATAAATTTTTTTATGACGGATGGTTAATTTAATCAAAATTATATTTATTATTTTTTATGTCAATACCAATTAAGTATAAAATTTTAATTAAAGAAAATATAAAAACTAAAACTTATTTAAATTCTTGAATAATTTAAAATTTATTTTGAATTTAAGTTTACTTATTAAATTCTAAAAGTCAAAATATCTTATTGAAAATGTGCTGAGCAAAGTATTTTTTATTAGACATGCTTTCTATTCCATGATGATTAATTATGTACTGCGGCCCAAAGGTGACAAAATCATGAGCTAATCTGTCAATCCTTATTTATTTAATTTATTTTTCATTGCATTGGGTATGAATTGTTTGACTTGAGTTTGTTAAGCAAAGATTGGACACTCCCTCGTGAAAAGTAGGGTACAAATTTCCTAAAATTAGTACACAAACAAACATGATGTTTGTTTATGTTTTTTTTAAGGTAAACATCACTTATATATCATTTCATATTCTGTGATTTTTTCCTCAATTAGCACTATATAAATATATATTTTTTCCTTTGATTAGAGCTCTGTGACTAATTTCTGTTCTCATAACAGATTAAGTTATTAATTTTACTTAATAAAATGAACAAAATACATTCAATTCAAAATTGGGTCCTATGTTCACGTTTAAGCTTGTTTTTGTAATTTTAATCAGTAAAATAAACCGTCTAATCCTTATAAGAATAAAAATTATTTTCAAATAAAAATCATATGTTAGTAAAGTTTACCCATATGGGTATGCTTTTTTAATATGAGGAATGGAGCTTAGGAAGACTGGCATTTTTTACCCAATGGTTTGACATTGTATTTGCAATTGAAATTTGTGATGTGAAGTCATTATTACAATTATAAACTCATTACAATTAAGATTTTTAGTCCTAAATTTTATCTTATCTTGTTTAACGTTATATTTGCGAGTAAATTTGGAGTTTAGGATAAATTAATGATTTCAATAACAATTGTGAAATAAGACCTTACTTCATCAACACCCCCCGCCCAAAAAAAAAAAGCAGAATGAAGATATTATGATGGGAAATCCTTATTATAGAAACATTGTCTGTTTTTTCCGTACAAATGCAGTTTTAATTTCGTGGTGGAGTAACACACAATCCTTAGTTGATCGAAAATATTTCATTTGCTGCTGCAATCATGACAGGTTTTATCAGTGGCAGACACAAACAAATTGGAAGGATTAACATGTCACTTTGTCTTGTAAAAATCGTGCATCCCTTCTTTTTTCCCCTGTTTTGTTGTTCATTGAGAAATAGCAGTAGCAAGCAGCAGCTTGTTCATGGCATGCTTCAGGCGCCGAAGCTTTGCATACCACTCATCAAACATCATGTTATCCTTGTTCGGTGGCTGACCCTGACATGACATTTTTGATACCTTTGTTTTCTCGAGAATCTTGTTTTTGTTTTAATTCAAAATATAAATTAAATCAATGGGATTTAAGTCTCCTTGTCTCTCCATGGCTTCATGTTATCATGAAGCCTAATGACCTGGGCATTTTGCACTGTATTAACAAGACAAAGTCCTTAACCAAGAACTCTGTCTGATCCTGAAAAACATAAGGAGTCCAGCAGGCAGGCTGGGCTAAATATGAAAAACCAAAGCCCAATCATAAGTACAAAGGTGTTTTCATGTCTAACCAAATTCAGCCAATGTAAACATGTATGGCATCTTGGGTACCATTTTTTAGCAGAAAAGGTTACTTCTTTATCCCCAGCTCAACCAGATGCTAATGCAAAAATTTCATAAACAAATGGTAAATGACTTACATTTTAATGAATTGCTCAAGTAATGCACTTATCATATGTTAATGCTACCTTTCTGGAATCCATGGCTGTGAGGAGGAAGCCATCCAGCAATTTTGAAGCTATACCATGGGAAACTGCATCCGAATCTTTACGGGGATAAACCACTTTAACTCTCTCAGTCTGTATTGTTATGCATTCCTGTCTGCTACGTTGCCACCCAAATTCAGTTCTTGTCATGAATTTGGCTTTGGTCTGACATTGATCTTCGAATTTGTGACATGGATGAAATCTTACTTTGATTCCGTGCAATTATTCAGTGAAAGAACTTTCTTGATCGTCTAGCTTTTTTCCTTCTGTGTTATTCGCCTACTGAAGCTTCTCATTTTGCCGTTTCACTTTATTTTGAGAATAAGAAAAAGAGCACGATATACATACAAACATATGTAAATTCTTCCTAATAAAAATCACATTAGCTGCTGGATGCCGCTTCTATATCTGTTTTCTGTTAAAGGGTCTCTTTCTTATTTATAAATTTTCCCCTTCTCTTCGCCTCAGATGGATCTGACCTCTCTCTGATACGACAAGGGGTTTTTCCAGCTATAGGTGAGTGACTCTTTCCAATTACCTGAAGTTCATTTCAATTCCCATGTTTTACTTTCTCTCCAGAACTCTTCTCCACCGGCGATGCGCTGTCACAGGCTCAGCCGCTGCCCAAAAACTGTCTTTGGTTCAAAAACTCCCATTTAGCCAATTATCTCCCAAACCCATCTTAGCAAAAGTAAATCAGCACTCATCGGTAATCTCATTCCTGATAAACGCATGCGGGTTGTCTCCAAAATCTGCTCTTTCAGCTTCCAAGAAACTCCATTTTGAAACCTCTGAAAGACCAAACTTGGTCCTTAGTTTTTTCAAGAACCATGGATTCTCACGAACCCAGATCTCAAAAATCATTGGGAGAACTCCGGAATTACTTCTTTACCAGCCTGAGAAAACACTTCTGCCCAAGTTTGAATTTTTTTACTCTAAAGGAATTTCAAGTTCTGACCTTGCTGCACTTGTGTATACTTGTCCTAGAGTTATTGTAACGGGCTTGCAAAGCAAAATAGTCCCTAGTTTCAACTGTCTTGAAGAGCTGCTTAAGTCTAAAGACAAGGCCATTGCTGCCATTAAGCACTTTCCGTTTATTCTTTGTCATGATATTGAAGGCAAAGTTGCCATTTTACGTGATCATGGAGTGCCTGATCCTAATATTGCTCTGTTTGTTAGAAGATGGCCTCATTTATCAATGTCAAATCCAGATAAATTTAACCAGACTGTTGAGGTAGTGAAAGAGATGGGTATTAATCCTTTGAAGTCACAATTTGTTGTAGCAATTGTTGCCGTGAAGAAAATTGGGACGGACGTATGGGAAAGGAAGGTTAATCTTTATAAGAGTTGGGGTTGTTCTGAAGAACAGATTATTGCATCATTTACAAAGTTTCCTTGGTGTATGATAGCATCTGAGAATAAAATTTCTTCCGCAATGGACTTCTTTGTGAACAAAATGGGTTGGAAGGCAAATGCTGTTGTGGAACGTCCAATACTTATTTCCTTGAGCTTGGAAAATAGGATTCTTCCTAGGGCTCCAGTGCTTCAATTTGTGTTATCCAAAGGTTTGCTTGAGGAGAAAGTTTCTAAGGTGGCTTGGATGTTTACATGTCCTGAAAAACGTTTCGTGCGGAAGTGTTTGACTTGGCATAAATATGAGCCTCAGCTATTGCAGCTGTATAGAGGTAAGTTGGATCTTTGTAAGGTGAGAGAAGGATCAATATGAAGGTGAGAGAAGATGCACCACTTGCATAATGTTTACATCATGAACATGATACCCCAACGGACTTCTATTTTCTTTTTGTTATGTAATCACTGCTCCTGAGTGCCTCGGCTGGATGCCAAGAAGTTCATTCTTTGCAATTCGAGAGAAGGAGCAGCATGAAGGATTGAGCAAGCGAGGTGATGCAGAGCTAGCAAAGTGTTTATACTTTACATCATTTTCATCGTCTTTGTTATTGGATACAGTGTTTTTCTCTGACTTGCTTTATTTCAAGTTCAACAGGTTAATAAAAATCTTAGTGAATCTCATTTTGCAGTTTGATTCTCCTATTTCTTGTTTTCATGATTGTAATTTGAAGCAAGAGTTCATCCAGAATGGTAGAAACTCACCTTGTTTCAAGTTCTTATCTGATAGTTTCTATTGAAATCAAGTTCTGTTGAGAAGTACAGATTGCATATACTGATTTGCTGCATCTCATGCTGCCCTGATAAGGATCCAGGTTCATGCCATTGTAAGTTAGCATTCATCTCCCATCAAATTTTACATTGATGTAATCATATCCTTGCCCCTGCTCTTAGATTATCGACCAATTCGTTGACAGTTTATCTTTCCTTGTTACCAATTCATTCTTTCCTTCATTGTTACTTGCAGTTCAGTGCATCTTTAGTGACTTCAGAAAAGTTCCTTAGGAATTTGTGTGCAGCTATGAAGAGAAAACTCCTGAGCCATTAAAGCTATGTGAATTCCCATTTTAATATCCAGATTTTTATTTTCTTGTTAATTTGATTTATAGTTGAATTCTTTGGCTTCACTTGGAATGGAGTTCAAGTTGCAAGCTTTTTCTGATTTTCTTGTTTCTTATGTCGAATTGTTGAATGTGGGAAGCTAAAATCATGAAGCAATTGCTACTTTGCTTATATGCATTTCTTTCTATTTTTGTAATTCTTTTAAAACTTTTTCATATTAAGTTTCCTAATATAGTAATTGCTTCACAATCATCACAAAACATTCAACTCGTCCTCGGTGTATATAATTTAATTTTTTATTTTAAATTTTACGTATTAAGTGTTATATATTTTTTTGGAAGAGACGTATTGAGTGTTATATATAATGTCTAAAGATAAAAATATTGATTTTTAATTTTTAAATTTATTTATTAATGAAATGATAATATTTGATTCATCTTGTAAATGTATAAAATATAAACTTTAATATTAATTAAGTTACAAAACAAAGCTATTTTTCAACGAAAGAAAAAAAAAAAGGACTACTTCGACGCAAAGGATACAAATAAAGGCATTTTAAACGGTCCAGATTGAAACAAATCGCTACGCGTACGGTAGACAGCAAATCAACCGCGGATCGGCCCCACCTCTTTCTTTTTAAACTGTAGGAGTTATCGCCCCTGATAATCATGAATTAGCAATAACAATATTTAAATAATTAAAAGGCAAAAATGAAGAATTCGAAGAAAAGATTAATTTAAAAAAAAAAACAAAAAATGGCTTTTATTTAGCCATGCAATTGTTTTTTATTTTAAAGTTTCGCGGTTATATCCCCAAATTCTCCCATTTCTTCTCTTTCTCTCCTCCATTTTCAATCTTCTAGCAATCCAATCAACAGCCAAATAAATAAATAAATCCCGTCGGAGAAGAAGCTCGCGTTTTACTTGATCGCTTCTTCTTCTTCTTCGGCTTCCCTCAATGTTCTCCGAAACTGTGCCGTCTCGATCCGAGCCTGGTAAGCTTACATTCCGCTTTTGAAATTCTTTTTGTTTACTTCGATTTCTTCTTCTCAATTCGGTTTTGTAAATAAGCGAAAAGATTTCGAAAATTTTCTTTTTTTTTTTTGCGTTTTAGTTGAAGAAATTTCGACACTCAATTGAGTGAACTTTGTTTCTGTTACTAATTATTTCTTTTTTTGGAACTGCAATTTTTTTTTTCTTTTGCTTTTCTCGGCAAGCAAGCATCACTTAATCGCTGCGATACTTTGATTCAGTAAACATAGCTGACCTGATCTCTGCGCTTTTTCTTCTTCTGTAACTTAGTTTTTTCATGATCTTGACTTTCGTAGATTCTGGATTCTTAGTTCTTTTCTTTTTGTTTGATTACTCATTACTTTTGCTTTTCTCTTTCAGAGCTGGAAATAAAATTTTTTGAGGTTAAAGTTGAAATTTATTTTGAATGTTTTATTTGAGATTTTCCTCTTCTTCTTCTTTTATGGAGGAAAAAATTTGAGATAAATTTGTTTTTGATTTTGGAATTTGATACACTGATTTGATGTTTGGATTTTGAGTACGTTTCAGGTAACTGAGGAAATTCCTCATGGCGCCATCTAGAAAATCTAAAAGTGTAAATAAGAAGTTTTCTTATGTTAATGAGGTTGCTTCTAGTAAAGATGGAGATAGTAGTGCTAAGAGAAGCGGGCAACGGGTGAGTTCTTGATTAGTTTTTCCGATACTTTAATCTTTGATTTATTTATCTATTTATTTTGAATTCTTTCGTTTCATTAGGTTGTATGGGGTTAAGATTCTAATGGTTTGATTGCATATGTTGACTATATACTGTTCCTTTGGAGGTTTTTTGGACTGTTCATGACCGATGCTGGATTGAATTTATTTATTCCTGAGCTTTTCTTGCATTGTCTTTCTCCTTGAGGGTTTCCCACCCTTTGTACCTTTTTGTTTGAGCTTATATGCTAGCAAATTATAGCGAAGTTTTGCATACAAAGATGGTTGGACTAAGTTTTTGTGTTAAAAGATAATCAAGTATGTAAAGTAGGAAGCAGTGTTAGTAAAAGAATCAACCACTAACCAGAATTTTAAGAGTTACTGCTGTGAGGTTTGTACATTCAACGTTTCTTTTTTTTTTGTCTATGTGTCTATAGATGCTGGAAGCCTTGCTTAGATGAGATTAGAAATTCAGAAAGTCACCATAACTTGCCAACATAGTGCCAATTGGAAACAAAAGCAAAAGATTTCTTTTGATAAATGTTGATGCAGTTCTCTAATTATTTTGTTGAGATCTTTCTACAAATAATAAAATTGACCTGTGAAAAATTTTGTTCTTCAATTAATTTATGCTTATAATGCATTATGTGCAGAAAAGGAAGTTGTCTGACATGTTAGGGCCTCAATGGACTAAGGAAGAGCTTGAGCGTTTCTATGAAGCGTATCGCAAGTATGGGAAAGATTGGAAGAAGGTTAGTTGTGATTATAATACTGGGTTTTATTATTGGTTGTTGTAACTAACCTTTATTTAGATGGCATATGTTTTAGATATTGTACTCTAATTTTCTAATTTTATAATAAAATCAGAATAGCTACTTTATGATAGTTGCTTTTAAGTGCATGTAGTTGGGAGATCTGGCTTTTGGTTGGTGTGGTCTTACCTTTTTCTTATTTTGCTTCTTATGGGTTGCTAGGTTGCTACTGTGGTACGAAATCGATCTGTGGAAATGGTAGAAGCACTGTACACTATGAATAGGGTAAGCATGGATTTAATAACATATCACTATTATCTTGAAATGAAGGGATGCTATTTTCGTTATAATCATGTGTGACTATTGTTTACGTATAATGTGACAATGACAAAATCAAGAAGGTGCTTGAGTGCTTTAAACTCATCAAGAGAAAATTTTGCCGTGTTTTCAGGCCTACTTATCTCTCCCTGAGGGCACTGCTTCTGTGGTTGGACTCATAGCAATGATGACTGATCACTATTGTGTTATGGTGAGTGTTTTATATAATCTGGCCATTATTTGAAATTGTACTTGGATCTGAGGTTTTCGAAAAGATTTGCACTTGTATTCTGCTACTTTGACTATTTCATCTCTCTGTCAGTAACCTTTGTGATAATACTGTCCTCCCTTATTGTCATAGCATATATTTATGCTGAATAGGCAAATTTTATAAGTTGACCAGATCATTACTTGCTTTCACTTTGTTAGTTACTATCTAAATACCAATTTTAGTGTTAATGAAAATTCCTTGGTCAGTAGTCTCTCATCTTCTAGATTTGGATTAGCTTATTAATGATGTGTTCTTTAAGGCATGCTGTTTTATATGCTATCAATTGAGCTTGGATGCATCTAGGAAATGTAAATAATTATGGGAATGCCTTTTATGGAACTGAAGTTATTGGATTGTGAGATGGTAGGGAGGAAGTGATAGTGAACAAGAAAGCAATGAGGGCGTGGGAGCTTCTCGGAAACCTCAGAAGCGTAGTAGGGGAAAACTTCGAGATCAACCCTCTAAAAGTTTAGATAAGTCATTTCCTGATCTTTTGCAATTTCAGTCAGCTGCATCAAGTTATGGTTGCTTGTCATTGTTGAAGAGGAGACGCTCTGGTAAAGATCTCTTTCTCACTCTCTCTAGTCTTCCTAAACATATACATTCTGCACATACATTGGGTTTTGAGGTGGCATTCGCATTTTCTGTTTAATAGTAGCAATTAGGCTACTTTAGGAAAGCTCTATATTATTCAGCTACAGATGTTATGCATTAAAACTTAAGTTCTTAACATTAGGCTGCTGTACCTCATTAGTTTTTATTTTTTTACATTCATTTCAGAAAGTAGGCCACGTGCTGTTGGAAAAAGGACTCCTCGTGTTCCTATTTCTTTTTCTCATGACAAAAACAGAGGAGAAAGGTACTTTTCACCTATTAGGCAGGGCATGAAACTAAAGGTGGATACCGTTGATGATGATGTTGCTCATGAGATAGCATTAGTTTTGACGGAGGCATCACAAAGAGGTGGATCTCCTCAAGTTTCTCGAACGCCAAACAGAAAAGCAGAGGCATCTTCACCTATCCTCAACAGTGAAAGGATGGTAATCTGTTTTTATTTGATGTTTTACAATGCTTTATCCGGTTCTTTTTTACATTCAGAAATTAATTGATTACTTTTTTCAGAATGCTGAGTCAGAAACTACTAGTGCCAAGATTCATGGTAGTGAAATGGATGAGGATGCTTGTGAATTGAGCTTAGGAAGCACTGAAGCTGATAATGCTGATTATGCTAGAGGTAAAAATTATTCAATGAATATAGAAGGGACTGGTACCATTGAAGTTCAACAGAAGGGGAAAAGATACTACAGAAGGAAGCCAGGGGTTGAGGAAAGTGTAAACAATCATCTGGAAGACACAAAAGAAGCCTGTAGTGGGACAGAAGAAGATCAAAAGTTATGTGATTTCAAGGGAAAGTTTGAAGCAGAGGTTGCAGATACCAAAACTTCTAGAGGCTCCATCAAGGGTCCAAGGAAAAGAAGTAAAAAAGTGTTGTTTGGGGGAGGTATGATGGTATTTGCCTTTAAGAAAAGTCTTACTTCTGCCTCTATTTCCTTTCTTTTTCTATCTGGTTTATGTCAACAAATGCTACTCCCTCTGAGTTAATTTTCTATAATGTTGATATGTTATTTTTTGTCTATCTTTTCTGCATATTTGTATAAGTATGAGTGCTTCTTGTATACCTATGTTATCTGGAGGTCTAATTTGGGCTTGTTTCTCTTCAGAAAGATAATTTCCTCTAAAACATGTTTCTTTAGAGTTTTTTGCTGCATTCAGTTCCTCGCTGCTTTTCTTGGAATATCTTCAAAGATAATTTTTGTCAAAATCTTATTAGACTGTTAATCATACTTGACCAGCCTTCCCCCCTCCCCCTTCTCTTTGTGACTTTATTTGAGTGAGCTTGGACTTTGACTTGTGGAACTCTGGCTATGTCTCATCAATTCTTTTAGACCCTTTTCTTTTGCAGTTGAAGACACTTCCTTTGATGCCCTGCAAACTCTAGCAGATCTGTCCTTGATGATGCCAGAAACTGCTGCTGATACTGGTAAAACATATATGTTTTGACCA